GTCGTATGTTTAGTGATCCAATACCTATTCTTCTATCTACGCAAGGACGAGGACGTTCAGCAATCATATGCTACGAACCCGATCGATGTCGTGTTGTTAGGCGGGCTCCGGAAGCCTCTGAAGTATTTAGGTGTCAAATTCGATCGATTAGAAACGCCCCAGCAAGAAGAACGAAGGTGGCCAGTGGCTTTTGATCAAGTAAAGTTGACAACCTGGGATCTCAATGTATTCAGCTGCTAATATAGCTGCGTAGTATGTCAAGGCCGTCGGCGACGTCCAGCTTGCGATTGGATTTGCAGTGCTCGTGTACGGCTACTTATCCCTAGCGGAGCATGGCTTGTCAATGTATCAATGGTGGCTCATTGTGGGATTAGTGTAAGCAGCACCGGCAACGATAAGTTCATGACTTTTCAAAAAATATGTCTCTAACCACATGAATTAAACAGCTGGTATTCGGTCATAGCGAATCTAGCAACTACTTCATATTTGCGCGCCTATTTTCTTAAGAGGGACCCGGGCGAGCGATGGCTACGGATGATTCTCCTTATCTGCCTTATTGCGGCGCTTAGCTTTTCAATGGTGCCGATTTATCAACTAAAGGAGAGGCTTGTCAATGAGCATAACGAAGAGGCGCAGCGCCGGATACTCCTAGCAACGAACGTACTTTGTTATATTCCCGGATTTGGCGCCAAAGCCGACACGCCGCAGTTCCGATCCGCTGTTACACTCATAGGCATTGTTGTCGTTCTAGGTATTGTGATTATCGGATTATTGAAGCTCTACGAGAGGCCTAGCAGTGTTATCTTCAAGTGGCGTGATCACTACCGCGGTGAAATGCAGCAGTCATTTTTCGGGGATGGAGACAGCATCATAACCTGCATTCGCTGCGAGCAGCGCCACATGTTGCTCATAGTCCGACCTGTCTTGGCGTTCTGGCTGGTTCTACGGATCTATGCCGATTTCCTGAATTCCGTCTTGACCGAAATCCTTTTCACTGCGGCTATGTTCACGTGGGTTACTATCCGTTTTGTCGATATATTGCGCCTTGGTGGGAATCTCGAAGCCTATATTCACCACTGGGATTTTGGTCAGATTGCCGCGCTTGCTTTCTTTATAGCGCCTCTGGGAGCACTAGCAAGCTGCTTGTTAGGTACTCTTAAGGGACTGAAATTGAGCAATCCGCTTTCTAGGCGTTCTACTTTCCGAGACATGAGATGGTTGCCGAGCTTCACCAAAAGACAACAGCCTGAAGAACTTCCAGACAACGACATTGAACGGCATAGCGACGGGTCTAGATCACCCCATGACGAAGGGATCTGCGAGTTGGATGGACAGGAACAGCCGAATATGGCAAAAACGACCCAAGAACGGCGTGAACAGACTAACCATTTACAAAATGGCGGGATCGACCCGGCTAGGAGAGCGTATGATGTCGGTAACTACAAGGTGTTGCTGTCGCCCCGGTTTGTTATCGCACTGCCGCTTGTAGGCTTCTCAAACCTGCTATACCTTGTCCTCTTACTAGTCTTACCAAGGGTACCTGAATACCCGTCGACTTCCGAGGTACTCTGGCGAACCATTTTCTGGTATGTCGTTTATCAGCCCTTGCTGCTCTTCGCTTTCTTCCTCGCCGGAATGATCGTAGAAGAGAGGGTTACACAAGAGGGGCGAATGCGGTATGCCTACCGGATCATCGCTGTCATCGCAGCTGTACTATCTACAGCCGCCATCTTCGACACTCTGTATGGTCTCGGTGGCATTCCAATGTCGTATATAGGCATGGGAACGCTCGGTTTAATCCTACTCGTGTACCTTCTTTACGGCTGCGTCGCACGACCTGGCCCCTTAGCGAAAGGCAAAGGACGTAGCAGATTTCCAGGAGCTGGGGACATCGAAGAAGGTCAGCCGCTCCTCTCGGAAGTTAGGAGAAGGATCTTACCAGAGGTTCGCATTTTCCCGGTTCGTAGGCCGAAGCTGTGGCACGGTCCTTCGAGGAGGCTTTCAGCAAGGGGCAGGAGAAGTTATGGTACAATTGAATAAGGTTCGGATACTACGGTGAATCAAGTCATGCGAATGACGGCGGCGGCGCGATTGTATAAAGTTTACTGGTTATGTGATTTTCGAGGCTGGGTTTGGAAAAAGTTTCATGTGTAGAATGAAAATGAATCATGATGAAACGTCAATTGCATTTAGGGAACATCAATTTTGAATTATCTATTTCCGAATGAATATCAGAATCATATTTATTGAGAAATATAAACTGCTTGCTTAACCTATTACGCAACTAGGGTAGACGTTGTACGTGATTAGCAGGTGTGTTTAGGGGTCCTCCCTGAACTAAAAATACCAAGGGGCCCAATACCATACATTAAGGACCCAAGTAAGGGGCATATTGAGACAGCCAGCTAGATATATGTATAGTTATTAATCATCACTAGGAGTTGATTGGTATCAACCCTCCGTATCCAATCCAATGGCAGGCATAATAAGGTATGCTTACATTTTAGTCCTGCCTTAAGTGCTCTGACTTCTTTACTTTATAATTAACTTAGTGCATGGTGAACTTCATAAAGAGGAGAAAAATAATATATACTAACAAGATTAAACTCGATGGTTTGTCGATTCACCTAGGCTCGGCAAATTCGTTATTATCAGGCAGTAGATGCGTAAAAAGAAGCGCCTTATCACTAACCGTCTTCTCATCCCTTTACGAAGTTGTATTTGTTATGATATTTTCTAATGTTTATAAAACTAAACCCTATAATCAGACCTACGAATGACAGACTCAACTTGGATTGATCAAGCAGAGCGTCGATCTAAGCAAGCCTGGCAAGCTTGACTTCATAGTTGCATATTTCGTGGATTTAGATAGCCGTATCTTTATCAGCCAGAATACACTCGTTTCATATGAAGCTCTTTCATATTTAGGGGGAAAATGCCAAGTCTTTCTAGACTTTTAGTTGCACCAAGCAAGAAATGCCAATACAGAAAAATCTCGAGTCGGCGCTCAGATGCCTCAGATGTCCCAATACCGACCTATGTATATAAACTAAAACGACAAGAGAAGGCATCTTATCTCTATAGGACCAGAGTTAAATATGTGTTGGAAGATTTTGTCGAGGACGAGATGACTCATATCCAGCAGGAAATAGGATCGATCAAGGAAGATGATGAGAGTTACGACATTATCCTTCGAAAACATGGACTCCCTGAGAGGACTTTGGACAATCGCCAGTATGCGGCATGGAGTAGCGTGTACTGGCACTACGAGGGTGGATGGGAGGGAAGGCAATATTTTCGTCAGCTTAGATCCTGGTTCGTATGCGGTTATTCTCCCTCGAGACCCCGAGGATGATAAGTTAATTTAGATTGTTAGGTGGAACACTATTAGAGTACGTATGGGGTGATATCATCACGCGAGATGAATACATATATATGTAAGTGTTTTGGGTTTACTATTAGGGTACTTTACAGCAGATAGGTATATTCTCTCCTTCAGATCTTATTCTGTCTACACCCCGTCTTCGGCTCCTCTCCTTCTCCGTGGTTGCACTAATTACTCCTGATTCTTCTCCCACAAACCTAATACTATCGACAAGGACATAAGCAGGATGGACGTGGGACTAGATAATTGGTTCTTCGTGTCATAGAATCTCCGTGGCATAGAAGGACGGCCCAACCCGCGAGTATAGATTAGCAAAACAAAGCCTATTGGGATCCTTTAACGGTAACTCCAATGCATGCAAGCCTATCATGCAATGTATAATCTTTAGTCATCAATTCTTTTATTCTATTGGTAACAATGGATATAGTGGAAAGCATACAAGCCAAATGTCTCATGTATATTCACAGTATGGGAATAGGTGACAACCGAGCTTGATAAAACTGTAGCAAACAGTTTCGAAACATGTAATTAGTTGAAAATATTCCCCATACCTAAGCTGTTTCTTCTACCGAGAATTTTGTAACTACAAAGTAACCTCAGATTCCAGATAGATTCCATTGTTTCCGATTTCATCTTGATGATGGTGCACAGACCACTTATAAACTTCTCGAAAGACGGAAAGACAATGGAGCTATCAACCATGTGCACCGAGTCCAACTTAGTCGGATGTTTAGTCCAATAATATACTTGTATAGATTTTGACAACATGCAAGGTCCCTGAAGATCCGCGAAAACCCTTTGACAGCGGCCATTGGGTCATTGGGTCATGCAAGCCATAATCGTTTCAGATGGCTAACCTGTTCCTATCAACAAAGCTCGTGGCTCTTTAGTAAGCCACTACCGCTTTGCTGACGACGCTCCTTTGAGGCGGTATTGGCAGAAGAATCGGAGCGATAAACCAATTAACGGTGCGGTACTACGGCGGAATGCGATCTCGTGCATTCTAAGCTACGGTTGTAAGACGGCGGCCCCTTTTTTCCTCGATCCACCCTAGATCCCTGGACCCCAATATCACACTCCCTCCAGAATAAAAGCGAGATAAACAAGCTTTCTTAATAAATCGGGGACCAGAAAGACTAGAGTGGTGTTATTTCCCTTTCTAAAGGCACGTTTTCAGGGCCGGACGCTTCCACGGCATTGACGAAGCCAATATGGGGAACTCATTACGCGTCGTTTCCGGCTCGATTTTTTTCTTTATGGGACCCATTTCACCACCAATCAGCTTACGTGGCTTCGCCTCTGATAGCGAGTTCATAATTAGTTTCTGGCGCCTACTATGCCCGATGCCGTAGTGGAACATCTGATGCTGTAAGAATCCTATTATGTTAGATGATGGCGTCGAGTCAAAGGGATCTGGGAGACCTGATGTGAGTATACTTAAAGGGGGGTTGTCGCCCCCTCGCCGATAGTCAATATGTTATCTTTCTCTATCCAGTTCTTACTAGTCCACTCCTTCACTTAGGTCTATACACTTGAACCAGTTTTTTTTTCTCTTTAAGCTTACTTTATACTACACTCTTTTTCCATTTTTAAATTCTTCCATCCAGTCAGAAGTATGTTGAGGTCATTCTTTACACTCACCAACCTTCTTCTATCTACTGCAGTAGCCTTGCCATCCGGCATTATACGTAGTAGCCATATTTCAGGCGGCTTGTCCGCCCGGGGATCCTGCGCGACGCAAGCGTCCGACGCCACCAACGACGGCGACCAAGGGGGTGCCGGTATTAAACTAAGTTATAGCGGTAGTGGATCTCGCAGCTTCTTCGTGTACGAGAACAGCTGCGACAGCATACCACTCAAGTATGTGACTGTCAGTGCCGGAGAGACTAAGTTTGTAGCGTTACCGGAACTATTCCAAGGCCGCATCGTGCGTGGCTCTGATGCCAACTTAGACGGACAGCCGCACTTGTTAGGTACCTGGCTCGAGCTCGGACTAGACGGCACCGGCAAGGGCTACGGTGATATATCACTGATTCGAGGTTGTGATGGTCCTGTGACTCTTGCCGCCGAAGATGGGACCGGTGTGACTACCGGCTTCGATGACTTGAGTGTATTAGCGGACGCACCTGAAGGCGTCTACGAGATCGAGAGTGACGGAACGAAAGTTATCGAGGCCACTGAGGGCGAACTTTCTGCTGTCGTCGAGCCCGTGAGGGACTACCTTGCTAGCAAGCTCGGGTACGAGAAGGCGTACATCGACGACTACCATGGCAACCCTGTCATCTGCTCCTCCAACGAACGATTCAGTGCTACATTCTACTAGGAGAGAAATAAAAGCCATCGCATAAGCTTGGGACTTCGGCGTGGCGTTTAGGGAATTTAGAGGCATAAGGAAGTTTGACACGACCGGTATTTAGGTAAAAACAAGTTCATAAAGTTTGAGGATATCGGCGGAAAGGCAGAGCCTGCTATTGGCTTTCATAACATTCTTGTACATATTATATCCAGGTTTTGAGATATCCACCTGGGAATTTGGCATATGAGCATTGCTCTGTGGGCAACATTCACTTCTGAGGCATATTAAATTGATAAAGGGGCGAACTGATAGTTGGTTTTGTTTATATCGAATTATATTATAAATTTAAACAACTTAAGATTTTGAATGTGAAAAATTCAATTTATCCAAGCTAAGAGTTGTATTCAATCCGATACGGTATGCTTTACTTGGTCACTCTAAGCAGCTATTCTTAGAGGAGTGTCGTTTATTTCTACAACTACCATTTCTCCCTCCATCTATCTTCTATTCCAAGTATACAATCTATCAAGTTCAATATCAGGTTATAGTTACTACCTTATACTAAAATGTTGCATCTGATAAAGAAAGCATAGAGCCTATTTCCTCCCGTAGATGTGTTGAATACGACACATATTTGTAGCCGCGAGGAATCTAGGCCCTATGAAAACGTTCGACTCGCCCTAACGGACACGACCCGAAAAAATAGTTAATACCATTAGCCAGGGGTACAAAGCGCCCAACTAGTATTTCTTAAATCGGACGAATGATATAGCAAAGGTGTAGCGTTAGCCTGTAGAATAGCTCCTTATTCTCCTAAGTTAGTGGCCTTAAAATTAATCGAATGCGGAAATAAGAGCTTAGCTAGGGCCGCTAGTAACGTAGTCATTGATAGTTCTTCAGCTGAGCTTCAAGATCAGCAGTAGGGCTTCTAGGCCGCCGACGCCAATTGCGCCACTTAATTTCGGCTATCGAGTTCGAGACCAGAAAGGAACGTCGTACGTGATATATATATTATCTGCGTAGAGCCGCAATACTTGATGAAAGTTAGTTTATACTAGGCTATCGTTTAGAAGTGAGAAGAAAGCTTCCGTCGTTCATTCTAACTTGTCACTTTTCCGTGATATAAATCTTCTTCCATTTAATCATGTTGTTTAAACACGTAATCTCGGCCGCAACCTTGTCGACCTTTTATGAGGTAGCGAATGCGAGTAGATGTAAGCCGAGGACGTCGAGCAGTGAGTCAATCTCGACGACCTCTTCGTATAATTCGATTCCATCGAGCACATATGCAGTCTCTATCACTACTTCATCGTCTTTTGCTTCCGCTACGAGCTCTGTGGCTATATCTTCAACAATCAGCGACAGTTCAATTACATCAAGCACTGAATCTTCATCCATAATCCCCTCGACGAGTTCTTCATCCAGTTCCTCAGCAATTTCATCATCCGAGAGCATAATAGCAACTGAGACTGCCTCCTCAACAAGTTCCTCGGAAATTTCATCGTCAGAAAGCGTATCGGCGACTGAGACGATCTCCTCGACAATTTCCTCAGCTACCTCCTCGATTAGCAGCATCGAAACTTCGTCAAGTATTACCCCATCGAGTACTTCCTCGTCGGAGATACCTTCAGTTACATCGTCGACTACGTCTGCAGAGCCTACCCCTACTAATATTCAAGTGAGTTACAATATGTAAGCGTAGGAAATTGGCACTAATTTTGATACAAGACCGTTACAAACTCTGGCTTCGAGATCGCGGATCCTATCACTTGGACATTTCCAGGATATAGGCTTGACGTGGCCGCCACCGGCTCGCTGGACACAGACCCATACTCGGGCTCGCGATCATTCATCGCGCAGGGACTGCCAGGCCTCTGGCAGATCCGCCTGCAACAGACTGTGTCGGTCATAACAGGCCAAGCATACACATTCCAATGTAAGTAAAGCGACTTACTATATATGGTTCTAAGACATGATATCTAACCAACTTAAAGATACCCTCAAGATGGACCCGGCCGCAGGGTGTGTCATGGACGTATTAATTAACAATGTGCGAACGCGACGGCCCCTCTTGACTCAGAATCGGGGTCTGTATAATACCTACACTGATCCCTGGACCGCAACTAGCGATACAGCAACGATTTTGTTCAGCTCTCAGTGCAATTCAGGTGGCCCGACAAACAAGTTGTATTATGATGATATTACGTTGACTACGGTCGACGCGCCTGAGGTTACGGCGCCATAGGACCCTGAGTCTGTTTAAAAAGAAACAAAATTTAAATGTTATTATTGTATATATAGATATATAGTATAATGTATAGACTTAATACCCTTCGATAGATGAGGAGGTAAAATCTTTGAAATAGAAAGTTTAGTAACTCCAAGAGCTATTTTTAAAAAAAATAAGAAATTTTACTTAGCTTGATGGATTAGTAAGCTAGATCTAGCCAATAGAATTGCGTAAATGGCAGAATTACATCACCCCCACTTGCCTATTTTGGCGTAAAGACGTAACTAGAATATATTGCGCTGCAACAGCAAAATAATTACGTTGTGTTTCTACAAACCAGTTTTTTCTACTAAAACGAGGCAGTGTGGCCGAGTGGTTATGGCGCTGCGTTCAGGTTTACCTGAATTCAAACTTCGCAGTGGAGCAATCCGCGTGGGTTCGAGTCCCACCGCTGTCATTATTCTTTTTGACGATGACGATGATGATGATAAAGATGTCAGTCACTTGTAAGGTATTCTTTATTTTTGTCATACTATATCTTACTTTCTGTTAAACTCCTCTTGTTAGTCAGCGAATTGGGGTTTCTAGGACAATGTCTTAATCCTAAACTAAGGTCTTATACTTTTGCTGATCCTCCCACAACCCTCTGATGCGGTTCAGATTCATAAGTTGTTACCTACCATCTATCATCATGTCTATTATTACTTGAACGAATATCTTACCGATTAATAGGGCCACCGCTGATATTACCTAAATATTAGTCGGATTAAATATCTAAGAAACCAAGATAGGGAAACATGTATTTGGTAGGGGAGTCAAGCGAGATATTCGTCCCTAAGTAACCAACATCATTCCAAACTCATTATCCCTATAAGACTTCAAGGAGAAGAGGAAATAAACAGCATCAACACTGTGGCATGGTAATCAAGCTATTTAGCCACTTCTTGCGATGTTTCTGTAATGGAGTTATTTCTCGTTGCTTTATCAAACAAATAGGAAACCCCTATGTTGAATGATTGTGTATCCACAATGATGTTTATGGGAATACCGTCAAATTAGCATAGCTTACTATTCAGAAGCTCGTCGGTGTTCGACCTACAACCGAATTAGGTTTCTAATCGATTCTTAAACCTGCCTGTCTATTTGACATTTTGCCAATATGCCACCAAAGCGGGGTCTTAGCCCCCAGCTAGTCGGTAATCCATTCATCAAGAAGGAGAATTTAGAATGGACTTTCGATCTTTCCCGTCCATCCCGGGACAGTGATGAAGATGGTAACTCCGATGAAATAAATAATCACGGATCCGGGGCGGAGGAAGAGGAACCAAAGGCTTCGGCTGTAGAGGCGGGCAAGGCTAAGATCGAGGACCATCTCGGTTACTTTAGCGGGATCCTAGCGAAAGCTATACCGTCGCCTTTCCTGTCGGATATACCAAGACTATCTATCGGAGCCTACAAGAAGCTTTATGAGCAAAATTCGGATAATCCGCGTGGCGCCCATTTCATCGTGCATCAGCATGATCATCCTGTTGCGGGCACACATTACGATCTCCGGTTACAGATCAACGAGACAAGTAGCGTGTCCTGGGCTATCATGTATGGGCTCCCAGGTGATCCAAATAGCAAACGATTAAATACGAACGCCACTGAGACAAGAATCCACTGTCTATGGGTAGGTTCCCCTGAACTTAACCCGGGATTCTATTCTGATCTCTTCTGCTAACCCCAGTGTCCTTCGTAGAATCATCTTATAGAAACAGCCTCAATATCGACTGGGTCACTTCTCATATGGGATACGGGGACGTACACTATTCTCCCGTCGCGAGAGAATAGTAGACGCACTAACTGGAACTCACAATCTGACGAGGAAGATGAGTCGCCCGGGCTCACGGAGCAGGATAAACTCCATCAGGCATTCCAGAAACGAAAGATCCGTATCCGTCTCAACGGTACATGCTTACCGAATAACTATGTGCTAAACCTACGGCTCACCAAGGAAGAGGACGTAGCCGGTCGCGCTAAGAACAAACGCACACCCAGTCGGCGACGGAGGCGAGGAGCTCCAGCACAAGGTAGAAGCTCGGCCAGGGGTAAAGGGAAGGGCAAGGCAGTCGAGCCAGAAACAAGCTCGGACTCAGACTCAGGCGGAGAGCCCGCAGGGAACGAAGAGTCGGAAATTGTAAACGCGCCCGCCGAGGAGGCAGACCTAGAAGCCGTCTCGGCAATGGAGCGGGAGATTCGAGAGCTCGAAGATGAACAGGTACGCCGCACAAACGCATATTCAGGGGCGGAAAATTCGATAGGTAGCGTGTATCAGCGACGGTGGTACTTGTCGCTCGACAGGGAAGCTTGCGGGTTTGTGAAGCGCCGGAGAGCAGGGCGAATGATATGGGAAGCCAAAGATGTTGATAAAGGGAAGTATGTTAACGAGCACGGGAATCGACTCACCTTCCCGTTCTACGTCCGTGGTATCGAGGTCGAGAGGAGCGTTGTGACGGGTCGGACCGGTGCTGACGTTTTAAAGGATGAAGGTGTTGTTGGGCACGCTGGACGGAAGGGCTGGCGGCCTGTGTTGAATTGAGTTATGTCATGAGATGGATGTGACAAGTATACTGTCGAGATTCTATCTTTGGACTCTTTTAAGTTGAGGAAGATCCCGTATTACTATTAGGTTAGGGTAGACAGAGAAGCCTTTCTATTAATGTAAGATTACTAGCAGGGTGGTGCACAGAATTTAAAAGAATTATATTATTATACGCATAGTAAAATACATATTATACGAGCCCTATTCTCGTCTACTTTTTCTTAACAATGCCCATCTGACCATTCAAGATGTCTGGGCTCTTGTGGGAAATAGAGCGCAGAGATGCAGCTAATCTCTTACCCCTATTTTCACCACCCTCGTTTGTCTTTCTCCAACGCCCTAGCGGACGGAACAGCATGATTAGCAGTATAATAGGAGGCAATAAGATGGCCGATATGAATAATAGTATGGCGACGGATACAAGAATGACATCGGTTATGTAGGGCGCGAAGTAAAGGAGGACGAATACGATGGAACTTGTCATGATGCAGAACCGTCGGCTTGGAGGCGGAGAAGAAAACCAAGCATCGTACGCAGCCTCCTCCTGCGCCTGACGAAGGTGTTCGTCTTCTACATCTGCCGTAACTGTCTCGTTAGCATCATACTTTGATTAGATCAGCTGTAAGATAATAACTTACACGCAGCGCTGTAGTACCGAATATCACTTCTATTCGTTGGCTCGGGGACATCCTCTTCCCCTTCGTCAAACAATAATTCGTACCAGTAGTCGAACAGGTCATCAAACCACTCGCTCACGCTCCTCGTGGGCACCGGTCGGCTCGACTCGTTTGTGTGAGGGGGCTTGATAAACAGATCGAACAGTTTAGCGATCAACAGTGGTTCATGCGAAGACATTTTTGGGATTATCGACTTTGATCAGATGAAGAAGCCAAGCAGTAGTTTTAAGTGCTGGATGAGATCTACGTGTTTAAGAATACGAAAGGCTAGTTCTTAGAGTTTGGACTGTTCAAAGCTCTGACGAGTAGTGAGACGGTCTACTCTAGTTCTTGACACTATTTTGATATACAATATTTACTGTCTAAGACGGCTGGCTGATATGTACCTTGGACGCTTGAGCTCCATAGGCGAAACATCGTTGGGGTGGTTAGATGGTTTTATCGTGTAAGCGATTCAAGATGCTACTGTTTGCTAACATTAGATATAGTAACAGGCCTGCTCCGACAAACTCAGGATCGTGTCCGATATTTTGTAATAGGAGAATTTTAATACTATCGTGGAAATCATCAAGATCCCCGTGTGTATAGGGCTAACCGTGATGAGTTTCCATTATCTACCTTCAACACATAAACCGACTGCCACACATGCCTATCCATGTGCAGCTTATAGAATAAACCCTAAGATATAACTTGTAATTATCGTTCCATCAACAAATAATGTCAAAACGCCCCAAGCGGGATATCCTATGATACGCGGATCCTTAAACTCCAATCCTGATGCTGTGCAATAAGATGCAACCGCTAACGCTATTTCGTATCGTGTACTCAGCTGTCGTAACACCCAACTCCTACTATCTTAAATCGTGAAACCAACGGCCAATCTCTTGCGTTTTTATCCGTATCTCATAGGCGCTTGACCCTGAGGCGGTCCTTGTCCCCATCCCGCAGGTGGCCCTTGTTGCGGAGCTCCTTGTTGTGGTGGCGGTGGTTGATTCTGCATCGGAACATTATTCCCTTCCCCGCCACGTCGCATCGCCTGAGCGTCGGGTCGGTGTTCTAACGGCTGCGCAAAGTTACAGATATGGCAGACGACGTCCTGGTAACCATGGATAGAGAGCGGGATGACGGGCTGCATCCATATTAGCATCTCTTTCGAATCATCTTAGTTATAGACAGCACGTTAGGTATAGACTTACCACGAAGCAAAAGGTGAACCAAGGATTGCTTTTGATGATATGTCCAGCATAGTTGCCGCAGTTATGGCATTGACAGACAACACCCTCATAGCCTTCTACCTCTTTTCTGAAGGTATGCTCACCGCAGGTGAATATTAAACACATCTTAACAGGCAGATGTTAGAACTCTATCGCAACTTAAACTTGCGCTAATCGAAGCGGTTGGAGATGGATGGATTCTCGCGTTTGAGATGAAGGTCGCCAAGAGAGTAGGTTGGGTATGTTAAACGATGTTGACGAAGGATTAAGAATAACTATGTTTATTATTTTTCTTATTTTACAAGGATTAAGTCGTAGGGCATGAGAGGCAACAATAGTGAAATCAATTTATTTCTTTGTCGGTGCCATGCTGGCTAAAGAAGTATTCGCATCCTTGTGCGAGATGCGCGTCACCTTCGGGGGCTGTGCTTTAAAAGGCCAAGACCCAAGACTGGGAACCAAGACAATATTCCAATTAAGTCTAATTCCAATTTCAAGGTAAATAAGGTAGGAATTCTCAAATTACTAGTCACACAACATTATCGATAGCGGTAAGTCGGCAAGCTGAACTCTGCTGAACTCTGCTGAAGCTTAGCTGCATATAACAGATGTACTATAGGTACCTGTAGCCCCACTAGGTACCTGGCTACCTATTAGGTTGCCTATCAAATATCTGGAATCTGGACAAGGGCCTGTAGCTCAAAACTTCAAATATTTACACTCACCAATGACATAAACTCTCAATTAGAGACCATGTTCCTTTAAAACCTCGAAATGCTCATCAACTCCATAACAAGATGCTCTACGACCTCAACATCGCCTGGTCGCCTTCGATCAGCACTACCGATCTTGAGCGCACATTGAGGTTCAGCTCGCAACTTGGTTACAATGTCGTTGCGCTGAACCACAATCTCGACGCGCCCTTACCCTCGCAGATCTCGAACTCGATCCCTCCATTCGCCCCGCAAACTTCTTCCTTTCAACCCGAAAACCGCCAGCAGCCTATCCCCACCATCCTCCGCCGCCTAACTGTTAATTTCTCAGACCCGTCGCAAAACCAACAGCTCCCTAAAGCTGCGCAGGCCTATGATATTCTAGCACTCCGCCCGCAAACCGAGAAGGCATTCCAGGCTGCCTGCCTTACCGTCAGCACCACCGAGGTCTCTATTATCTCACTAGACCTTACCGTGCGCCTACCCTTCCACCTACGTCCTAAGCCATGCATGGCCGCCGTCGCGCGGGGCCTGCGCTTCGAGATCGCCTACGGTCAAACGCTGAGACCCGGTGCTGACGATCGCGCTCGCGCCACCTTCGCTGGCAATGTGATACAGCTCGTGCGCGCGACACGCGGCCGTGGCCTAATTGTAAGCAGCGAAGCGGCTGATACCATGGCCCTGCGAGCCCCTGTCGACATTGTCAACTTGCTCGCCGTATGGGGTCTCCCTACTGATAAGGGTATGGAGGCGCTGGGCGTGAACCCGCGGGGTGTTGTGGTGAATGAGGGGATTAAGCGAAGTGGGTTCAGAGGCGTGGTGGATATTGTAAACGTAGCGGGGCGCAGTGAGGAGGAGCAGTCGAAGTTATCGAAGGGCAAGGATAGGGAGGTGGTGGAAGTAAAAGATAATAAGAAAAGGAAGAATGGAGGGGGTGAGACGGCTGAGAAAGGAGGGGATGGTGGAGCTGGAGAGAATGCGCCGGTCAGCAAGAGGCAGGCGAAGAAACTTAAGGCTGCGTTAAGGAAAAAGGAGGTAGAGGAAAAGGGAGCTCAGTGAAGAATGAATGAGAAGATAATTGGTATATCAAGATTTACATATGATGATGGCGTTTGGCATAATAGATTGGCGAATAGGAGATGATACCCTTATGAAATATATTCTCGCTCACTTACACATATCACGCTCACGCATCTCAACGACTCAGTTCAAGGCCAGCCTCGACTCAATTATTTGTTGCTTATTTATTTCAGCAGCGAGAAGCGAAGCGAAGAAGTCAAAAGCTATATACATACAACTCATGTGCTCCTAGCATCTCGTGGTAAACGTAAACCCTGGTTCTTTCTCTTCTCCATATCAACCAACCAACCATCCATCCATCTAAAAACGGGGTTACTTAAATCACGTCTGCATGCGTATATCAGAATATAAAAAATGAAAAAAAAAAAAAAAAATGGAAGCGTGAAAGGGAATGGTACTAGTGATGATGACGATAATGACGTTGTTGATGTTGATGATAATTAGTTTACAGCCTGCAAATCCGAGCAAAACGCAAATGGCGAATCTGCTACGGAGGGGTATTTCCTTTCCCTTTCTCTATCTATTCGGCCTCAGCCGTCCTCCCCAACGATCTCTCGCACTTAGATCCGGCCAAGATTTCCTAGCGTCAGAATGTTCGTCAGCGTGATGCCGGTTAAATCGATTGACGGGCCCTCATTGGCACCAACGAAGGTTGTGGCAGTAACAGCGGGAACGGCGGGGGTCACGTTGCTGCCGGCGTTGTTGGCGGCGGGCGGGGTCTCGACGGGGAGAGCGAGAGAAGATTGCGCTGCGAGGGGAGTCGTGATGGCTTGAGCTGTTGTAGCTGGGGTCGTCGTTGATGGAGCGACTTCGGGGAGTTGAATGGTGGAGTCGGCGGTAGGAGTCGCGACCGAGGTGGTGCTTGGAGAGACGACCGCTACGCTTGAGCTGGATGGCGTCTCGACTGCTGATGAAGACGAGGATGAAGATGAAGGGGGCGCAGAAGATACGGACGACGTAGTTTCAGCTGCGGTGCTTGATGTTGCTGCGGCCGAAGTCTCAGGGACGGAAGTCGCCACCACTTCTGATGTCGATGATTCAACCGCGGCGGATGAAGTGGGCACGACGGGACACTGGGCCGGGGAAGTCTCCGTGACGGTTACCGTAACGCTAGCAGTTGTAGCCGGAGGTGCAGGCGCGGGCGCAACCGGAGCCGCTGACGATACCGGGACGGCAGCAGCCGAGGAAGCTGCTTGTGCAGCAGACGATGCGATAGCTGAAGCTTGGTCTGCCGGAACCGGAGCGCCAACGGGCGTCCCGCATGCGATCATTTGCATCATGGTTACCGTTGATACTTCGGTGACGGTCGTGGCCTGCGTTACGGGCTGCATTATAGTAGATACTTCCGTTACTGTCGCCGCGGGGGCGGTCTCGGTAGCAACTTGCGTTACTATCGCTCCTGGAGCCGTCTCGGTGGTGATTTGCGTTACTGTCGAAGCGAGAGCCGTCTCTGTTACCGTGGGCGCTGCGCCGGTATTGTAGACGGTTGTTGTGATGAACGATAGTTGAGCTCCGCTGTTCACTATTGTTAGCTACTATATTATACCACAAGTCTTGCGGTAATATACGAACAGTGCGTCCCCGATCCCACCAGCGGCAGTGGCAGTGGTAGTTTCAGTGACTGTTACCGTTTGGGTGACAGCCGCTGTACCGTTGAATCCGCCTACCGCTCCGGCTCCCACCGTGATCGTCTGCCTCACTGTCTCCGTAACGGTGACGGCGCCATTTTGTCCTTGGCCCTTATGACCCTTTCCATTGTCATTGCCATCACCATTGCCACCGTCGCCGAGACCAAGACCGCCGAGCAGCTGATCTATTAACCCTCTTTTCGCGGGTTGATCATAGTAGCGATATGTGCCGGCCTGTAACTAGATGAGTATAGTTGATCGTAACATGATAAAGTAATACGCACCTGAACGAGCGACGAGCAGCTCAGCGCGGATAGGAGTAACGTTGACCGCGATACCCTCATCCTTAAGATGTAAGAATTAGGAGCGATTACTCACTCACTAATACCCTTTGGTATAGCCGTGATGTGCGACGACAACCCAAGTATATGGATGTATATGATTAAGTGAACGATAAACGATATGAACAGACCAGCCGTTTACAATTACGCGGGATCAACCCGATGAATTTTATTTTTCAGTGAGCGTGGCGAATATTTTGATCGTCCGAGACTCAGCTTGAACGGGCTGTCGATATTATTGAAATGAGAGAATTATACCGGATCGGATCCGAAAAAAAAGCATCAAATTAGGCGCGTAAAGCACTTAGAGAGCGAAAGGAATGACAGACAAGCAAGTCTCGAAACAATCAAGCAAGCATCACGCGGAAGCTGGGTGGCGCTTAGGAGTTGAAGCCATCGAGAGGAAACACCAGATCACAGAAGGGGGGAGAGATAGAAAATCGACCGAGGGGGAATCACAACACGATAAGTGGCAGATGGTATTACTACAGTAGGAAAATGGGGCCATACTACGCGGCCAGATCGGAGAGCCTCAACGAAAGAAGATGAATTTTCACATTTCTGAAGCTGGTTTCGACCGGGGTTCTAGCAACATTAGCTAGCTAGCTCCAGTCCCTTTTTCCTTTGAGGCGTGGTTTAACTTGTACGGCAAATTTCATGCAGGTCGAGACTTGACAACCCGCCAGTCTGGCGTTGGCGATAGCGCAAGGATTTCCCGAGTTAGTGGAATATTCTTAAGCATTGTTAAGCGTGCTGAGGCTCGAACGTCCCGGTCGGGAAGGGTGGCCGTGGCCGGGGTCCGATTGTTGGCAGGGGTTGAGACACCGCCATGACAAAGGAGGTGTTTGAAGCTAGGGTGTTCAACATATCCCCTGACGAACTGGCGACGCGATAATTCATGATTCTCGGTAGATAGCATTAATGATAAGATATGTAATGTCTGTCTACATATTCATCCTTCACTGAGACAGGTTACATCGTCGATTTAAATGTGACAATAGTACCCTCCCCATTTTCTATGTTGTAGGATCACTTGAAGCGAATTGTCATAACTACCGTAAGTTTCGGGAGGAATAGGGCTGAGACCATAATTCTTGGAATACCAGCGGCGCAGTCCTTCTAGTGTAAGCTTGTTTTAATTAATTATTCGGAAAGGATTTACGAGAAGTCTACTCCGCACGTAGAGGGGCGAATAAAAAAGCCCACTTGTACGTAAGTTATCGTGGGTTACGCGGGCGCCTCCTCGAATATAGCGTCTTCTTGGCATGAGTTTCAGCATGTGGGGACTAACCAGTACGCCTCAAATATCATAGTAATACTTTCATATTCGTATCGTCAACCGCCACAGGGCTGTTAGATGCTTGTGAAGATGAGACAGGCAATGATCCATTGATCGGAGGGATTTAGCGTCATCGGCATTCGCTAGCTGAGTGGCATATGTGGAATCTGGATTAAGTAGCCAAGATCCAGCTGAGGCGACGAAGATCCGGAAGTTAACGATGATGGGAAATGCTACTTTATCCATATCTCGTATATAGATTGCCGGGTATAGACAATATTTCCTAGGACGAAAAAAAGAATAATTGTCAGCTATGGTTTTGATGCTCGAAGCTAATAGGCTACGGCCAACATACCAAATCTGTTAAATGGCTGTCGTGGAACATCCACCTAGCGACATAGAAATATTAGACTAACTGAATCTTTCGATATATCTACGTGGACGGGGAAAGGCTTTAGACAATCCACATTTGGGAGGTTTCGTCTTCACGATATGCCTCGCCTTGCATTATCCCCTTTAAGAAGCAGTCGCCCTTCAATGTCCACCGTGACCCCTTTCTTCTTAGAATAAGAGGCACTTTTGCCCCTGCCACGACAGCGACTTCGTCATCTACCTCCGTCAAAGCGGATCCTAACCCGATATACCCTTTGTCTGTCCTGAACATTCGGCGGTCTGCTAGTGATGATAGGGGGATTCTGAAGCCCAATGTCATTTGGTCGGTCCGGTCATAGAATAGCATCGCATGAACCACATAGACTATCTTATCTACCAGCCAGTCCGGAAAAAATCTAGGCAAGCGTCTAAGCCATCTTACCATTGTAGCATTCCTCTCCAATATATCCAATTGTGCACGTAATATTTCAGCACTTTCATGACTGGATCCGGCAGCTAATGTCTGGACAAAGGCATCACGAATCGGTTCGCCAGTAATGTAGGCCTCCGACTCCCAGAGTCTAACAACACGGCACCAATTATCTAAGACAAAGGCACACTTTGGAATGCGGATGCCGTGGTAGTTCGTCCGTGGGAGATGCTCTAGTCTTAGGACTGTACCAACGGTGGTAATACGATCTACCCGGTGGCCTTGGACGCCGAGGACATCTGAGTCTATATCGAGGACAATCTCAGGCTTCGAAAGCCCGCTTGCGGTAAAACTTAATTCGTTGATATCAGAGTAGTTTGCCAGGCCTAAAGGCGCAGTGAGTCGAGTATTAGTCCAGTCAGGCACCCAAGACGGCAAATTACAAGGACCGGCACCAGAGAAGCGTCGGGGAACAGACAGTAAGTTAAGATCCGGCGAATGTTCGAGTATCTCCTTTGCTACGGCAGTATACAATTCCGCAGTGCCAACATTATAATTTGGCTGCAAAGCCCGAGTCCCGGAGAGCTCGCTTTTAATTAAAGCATTCAACCCAAAGACCTTGTCCCGAGGATCGGTAGCATCGAGTATCCGGTATCGAAAGAGGACACTAAGGAGGCTTCGTCGGATACCCGCGCACCACTCTTCGCGTGCTCTCTCTAGGATGAAGACATAGGCGTTACGCTCATGGTCGGAGAGCCACAAGTTCAAATGATCTTGGGCAGTGATGGCAGCGAGAAGATCAGACCAGCTGATATGCGAGTTTCCACAGAATACCATGGCATCTGTCGCCAATGCAAGCTCTTGGACTACCCAGACCCTCGTGAACCACAATCTTTCGATGATCCGAGCAAAAGCTGATAGCCGAGGAAACTCTGACTTATCCCTGAATTTTCCAAATAGTCGAATGGTAAGCTCGTCATCGAAACTAATAGTTACGAGTGAACCACCGTAAGAAGTATATTGATGACAAGCATTGGCAATATCTAAAGCAACCTCGATGCCCTTGTCGCTTTCGTCTTTCTCTTCACCAAGCCATATGAGGACCCGGTCAGCTTTCGAGTATATATCTTTCATACGACTAACTTGACTTCCTCGCTCATTACTGTCACTCTGGTTTATACAAATCGCGTCTGCCCATAGACTTCTCTTCTCCGATGGTGAACGAAAATGGTGTAGGACAGTGTGAAGGCCAGCATTAATGGCTAAAGGCTTGCCGTTGCATATGATGCCGGCTTTATCGTGGGGATTACCCCAAACGTAGGAGATGGCTTCGTAGGGAGGTGACTCGCCTATATCCCCGTGGGATAGGGTGCATTCTAATATTTCTTCTTCCGAACCGGGTAGTAGAGTAAGTATTCGGAACTGGTTACATTCAGGCTCAGTACCAAACGGGACATAGCAATAAGAGTCCATTACTAGGGTAAAGGGGGTTGCAATTATGTCAAGACTAGCTTTCTACGAGTAGAGCATTTTCAACGACCACATAGGAGACGTGTTAGAGAATTGTATATACATGATAAATCCTACCCTCATACTATCCATCAAAATTCGGTTACCGATATGTGCTAATATTTTCAACAGATGTTTGCTACCAAAAAGCAAGGGATACCAGATTTTAGCGTCAGACGGCCCTAAAGTCGAATCGCCTCCATCAATCAGCCCTGAGAGAAGTTTAGACGGATACTAAGCGTCAACCATCTGCAGGAAATGTAGCGCCTCATCATGCAAGGTGTGTCAAGGACGTTGTCATTGTGGATGGCCATTATGTAATTGGTTGAAGAGCAAACGTCTGAGGATATTTCATGACAGCGAAGGTGCGTAGGTAGCTAACGCCATCAACACAGACCAAAATGATTCATAGACGTAACACTTGTGAGCTGAGACTATTGTATCTACCTAATACACCTTAGTTAGTACGACAATGACATCTCAGTATGGATATATGTAGTTATTTTCCTAGGTAGTTTAGGGTTATATTATGCCAGTCATTGCCAATGTCACTTCACTACGTTGCCAGGGCAGGACTAATTATACTCGCCAACGAAGCTCTATTAATTACGAGAGTAATTGTATTGAATCTTATAAGCAGGAAGGTTGTCTGAAAGGACGATAGGTGTCGTATAGATCGAAAGCATGTGTATAAGAACTTGAAGTAGAATACTGAGATACAGTCCAACCCAGAGACCTGGCGGAATGCTGTCAAGGTAGACCAGGCTTGTTTACTTTAAAGTGACTTAACCTTAATAAACTTGATTATTCACCTTAGCAACTTCGCGATAAAAATTCATTACCTGAAAAGTCGCGTGTTTGAAGTAGGGTAAATCTCGACAAGATTCACTTAAAATAATATGATTGGATAAATGCTTTGAACACGCGACTATGTACCTTAGGTACCTAACATACCTATGTAAAATATAGGGACAGTACGTACGGGGACTAGTTGGTGGGCCAACAAGTGGAACTAATTACAAAGGCGGAAAGAGCTATGACCAAGAAAATATAAACAAGAAAAATAAGAAGCCCGCAGACCTTGAAATTTAACCTTATCCCGTTTTTATTGAACATCGAACGTCACTTCACCTTGAACAACCTTAACCTTGCAATTAGGTCAACGGTCAATACCTCGACCAAATTACATCGTCCAAGGTATTGTTCAATTATTCAAGTAGGTAATTTCTTTATACTTCTTTTTTTCTTTTTCAATCAATTATTTTGCATCATGGAAGTTGCAACTCCACCGAAGCGAATGACGCGTGCGAGAGCAGCCGCGAAGGACGCTGCAAGCACCAAGAGTACCGCGACCGCTGCCACCATCGCTACCACCACCAAATCTACCGCCAAGGTAGCTTCAGCCCCAACAAAAAGGACTGCAACTACGTCGCGTCCTGCTAAGCGGAAGACTCGATCCGACGAAGAAGATGAAGACAATCAACAGACAGACTCTGAGCAAACAAGTACCATGAATAAACCAGCCAAGACCAGAGGAAGACCGAAGAAGATTGCCCCATCTGAACCTGAACCTGAACCCGAGACGGAGGCTCCTGTTCACGATGCGCCAACCGCGTCCAAGCCTACGCGTGGTCGAGCTAAGAAGGTTGCCACAACAACATCTGCAGCTCCTAAACAAGAACCAGCAAAAACTATACGCACAAGCACGCGAGCCAGAAAGACGGCTGCTGGTGATGGTGATGCTGCGGCATCTTCTGAGCCGGTTAAGAAGACCACGCGGTCGCGTGCTACAGCAGGTACTAAAGCAGCTACTGGTGTAGTCACCACAGATGTTTCCACGGAGCCTACACCAGGCCTAAAGTCTGCCGTCTCTAGGCCTGCGTTTAGGGCTGGAGGAGGGATTATTAAGAAGACGGTTACCTTTCAGGAACCAGAGAAGGAGAACCTAGTGCCCACCGTAGCCGCTAAGGCTAAGGCTAAGACCAAGACGACCGAGTCCGCCACTGGTATGCGTGCAAAGCCCGTCCGCAAGCCAATTCCCGGTAGAGCAACTAGGGCCAGCAAAAAATCAACTACCAGTGAGACACGAGACAAGTCCCCTCTTAGCCCTAAGAAGGACGCGCAGAATCTGTCATTGTCTCGAGATACTGATTCGGACGACGAGCTTGCTACATTGGAGAAGACTCCTCTTAAACCCATGATGAAGAGCCCCGTGAAGCCACCCGCGGCTAAGAAGCATGACCCTCAGCCTCAGACCGATGATGCGGAGGAGACTACTCAAGAGGCCCCAGAGCCAACCGGTTCGTCAGTATTTGGTAGTCCTGCTCGTAGACCGCCCTCTTCTCCTTTTAAGGATATGATGAAGTCGCCTGCGAAGAAAGTTGAGGCTGTTCCATTCGTCCTATCCTCAATGGACGACCAGCAAACAGCACCGTCGCCAACAAAGACTTCAATACTGCAGTCGCCTGCTAAAAGGCCCCAAGTGCCTATTAAGGGACTACAACCTCCTCAGGAGTCTAATGGTATCAACCGTTCTCCGGTAAAGATGTCTCTCTTGCAATCACCGGCTAAGCGCCCCGCGTCGCCTTTCAAGATGCAAGTACCACCCATGCAATCACTTATAAGCAATTCGAACAAACTGTTTGGGCCTAAGCCTTCTTCGACAAACGATAAAGCGCCGGCTGAAGAAGCGCAACAACCTGAGCAGCAGGAGATCATTGAGGCAGAGCATGAACCCGCATCCGGCGAGCAAATGGAGGAGAATCAAGTCGAGCTCGAGTCGCCGTCTCAGCTTGCTTTCCCGGGCCGTTTATCTGCTGTTCTCCCTCGGCATGCGGACCCGGCATTGCGGGAAAACCCGCTCCCCATCAAGGACTTGGACGTGAAACAGCCGGAGATCGCTACAGAGGAACCGGTTGAAGCGCAGAAGGAGCCAATTATCGAAGCTGGAGCTGACGGGTTAGCTGACGACCCTATGGATGTCGATGAGCTTGAGACCAAAGAGGAGGAGAAGGCGCATAGTCCAGCTCCAACAACGCCTCCTCAGTCGCCTCCTAAGCAAGATATCAATCTAGATTTTGGCTCGGAAACTAAGGATCCTAACGACGCGTCCGACTCTGAGGATGAGCTTGCAGCTAGCGGAAAGACGCTTGGCAAATATCAGGATGATACGGTTTTCACGTTTAGTGCCGGTGTTCCTTCGACGCCCACGCCAAGCACTTCCAAAACTCCCCGACTGCCATCCAGCGCGGTCAAGGCTGCCAGTCGTGCCATTCGATCCGTCTCCAAAGGATCACGATTCTTCACCCCGCTAGCCAACCAACTCAATGAGTGGAAAGGCCCAGGCCCCGTCAAGGCCAGCAATGACGTGCATGTGCCTTCGCCTGAGTTCAAGGAAGAGGGTTTCTCGCTGCTTAGGGAGAACGACACCGCCCCGGCCGAGTCTACACCAACTAGGAGCTTCTTCGACGAGGAGATGAGAATCCGTGCTGAAATGGAGAACCAGGCTGCAATCGAAGCAGCCCTAGAGGCCGACATCGCTGCCAAATACGATGAGCCCGAGTTTGATGACATTCCCATCACGACTGAAGACATTGAACTTGCTGCCGAGGCCAACGAGATGTCCCTTATGGAAATAGCTGAAGTTGACGAGTCGAAGGAGAATCATGTCCATGATGACTCGATCTCAGACGCTAGCCAAGAGTATGGCGATGAGAACGCCGTTCCTATCGACCCGGCTCTCCTAAGCACCAATGCTGGTATGCGTCGTCTTGAGCCGTTTACTCCTGTCCGGCCGTCTGCGCCTAGGAGCTTCCACACCGTCTCTAAGGTGCCCTTGAAGCCGGCTGATGATTCCACTCCCGGGATTATGAAGAAGCGCAGCGCAAGCGTGTCAAAGCTTCCTGCCAATCGTCCGACTGGCCTATTTAGGAATGCCACGGTCATCTCATACTCTCCCACTAAGGACCCATCCCAAATGGATATTGATGAAGATGAAGAGCCAGAGCACCCTCCGGTGACTCCTTCAAAAGCCGACATATGGTCATCTATGGGCACACCAGCCCGTACTCCTCGTCGAGACCTAAATAACTCTTTACTCCGAGGCGCGGTCGTATTTGTTGACGTGCACACAAGTGACGGTGCGGACGCGAGCACCGTCTTCGTTGAATTGCTCACGCAGATGGGTGCTCGCTGTGTCAAGAGTTGGCCTTGGAATCCAACTAGTTGTAACGACGACGGCTCGGCAACTAAGGTGGGAATCACGCATGTCGTGTTCAAGGATGGAGGCAAGCGAACATTAGAAAAGGTCAAGGAGAGCGGCGGTGTTGTGCAGTGTGTCGGCGTCAGCTGGGTCCTTGAGTAAGTTAACATATTGTCAATAATGTTATGATTATCATTCTAATACTGTTTCTAGCTGCGAGCGTGAGAACGAGTGGGTTGAAGAGGCTCCCTACTACATCGATACTTCTCTGGTTCCTCGTGGTGGGCGCAACCGCCGTAAGAGCATGGAGCCAAAGGCACTTGCTAACCTCAACGGAACATTGGTTACTCCTATGAAGAACACGAAGCAGCCGCAGGAGTGCCAGACCGTCCCGAATAACCATGTTAGCCGTAGGGACAGCACAGTTTGGATGCGTACTCCGTCAGACCATGACGAAGACGAAGATGCACCTGGTGATCATGATTGGGATAGCGAGCTTGGCATGCTTACTCCTGTGCCTAAGACGCCAGCTCCGGAGACCGTCGCGAGATTCGCCATGGATATCAGCCCGGACTCTCCTGACACGGAGAACGACGAAGATCTTGAGGAAAGGGAGCAACTGTTGATGAGGACTTGCCCGCCGAAGAAGAGCATGTACGCCGACCTCGGCGAGGGCTTCATTAAGAAGGAGAAGGACCAGGGAATTCTGATGCGCCTAATGGCCGCCCGTCGCAAGAGCCTACAGTTCGCCCCTAAGATTGCGAGCCCTCTTTCCAAGGCATGGAATTAAACGAATTAATACACTGCATTGCATGATCGATGTTATAGGCGTTTAAGGCGGTACGGTCATCCACTCCTTGCATGGGAATTGCGGTACGGAGGTTGTCGTTCGTTAAAGGGAAAAGGATATAAGATAGGCTCGGGGCGAGCCTGATCCTGGCGTTGGTTGGCATGTGTTATGATGTAGTTAAATCGCGTCTGAGCGCAAGCTCGTCTAAAGGCTCCAATGCATTCTAGACTATGGCGAACGAATTGTTTGAATTATCAGTGACTTTACCGATTACATGTTCTAGGGGATAATATGGATGTTGCCCTAATATTATATATCTCTGTAAAGTTTGTGTTTGTTGTAGTTGGGCGATGTTGATGCTTTGTAAGTTTTATTGAAGGCAGTTAATTAGTTGAATATTGATTTCTTAAATCTGGTATACCTAATATGCTGCGTAAGACCTTCTAACTAACACGTAGAGCGTACAAAGCGAGACTGAGCCCATAATATTTGAGGGTATTACGGTTCAGTTCGATATAGTATTGCGCATTACTACAAGGCCAATCCTTTAAGCTTAACAAGTAACGAATCCTAGACTTTGTGTTTCCTCATTTTGCTTCCATACATACTTATGCAGTTTGTTATTTTCTCCCGTAACGTAGGTACTTATCTAGGTTAGCCACGGAGTTCCGGGCGCGCGCCAATAAAGATCCAATCACTGGCCATTCTCGTCATGGCGACGCGCGACATAACGCATATCTAATCTCGGGGAAAGCGCACGGAGTTAGCAAGGCGGACAATTTGTATGTTGGGGTAACGACCGGAGAATAAACAGTGGGACCTTCGGGATCGGGGGGCTGCCGCTGCCTTTTCTGGGAGGTGCCGAGGGAAGTTTAGTTATGGCATGTGATTTGTTGATGCAGGGGTGTTTATTGTTATGTACATATGTACATATGTAGGTACATAGTATTTATGTATGTATTAGGTACATTGGATTAGATTGGATTGGATTAATTAGGTACACTAATATTCGACATATGCGTAAAACCCCGGCCCGACCCTTTACGGCTTAGAACCTTACCAACATTGGATGCTTCGTACAATATTTGCATATTACATACATACATACATACATACATGTATACGACATACAATACCTAACCCTACCTAACCCTACCCAACACCCAGCATGTTAGGTACGAAGTAGGCTGTAGATACCGTATGCTAGATGTAGTAATAGCGCAGCCGAAACTAACGCCCCTCCCTTTTCCCCCCCAGACGCCAACGATGTGAATTGCTTTTCCACCAATCGCTGCTAGACCCGGCGAGATGTAGTTATGCGCCGTGCCTCAATAGTGCTTTGGGACCCTTGGGGGGGCATGGGGGGAGAGATGACTGGGGGGTGTAACATTACATAGGTAGGTTAGTTAGGTTAGGTAGGTATTTACTATGATATAACGATTATGTCTGTCTAGGTGAGCTGGGTTAGGTAGTCGGTAAGCAAGGGAATAAATAGGTAGGCAGCCGGGTAGCCGCATTACGGTCATATTCCTACATCGTACCATTCTAGTTTAATTTGGAGGCCAGTCAGCCTACATAGGTATATACATGACATACTTACCTCGTAGGTAGATATGTGTTTGTATAGGTAACTACCTGTTATGGAGAATTAACGTCATATGCCTCGGCGTGTTTGTATGTTTGTATGTTTGCGTGTTTGCATACTTACCTAGATACGTAGGTACCTAGGTGTAAGAGAAGTACCCAGATCAGATGAATCCGGGCTGATATACACATGGTGCGAGAATAACGCGAAGCAGTTCAAATACGACAAAGTCCAGGTTGTCCTAGCAAGGCACACACGGCATCAAAAGGATCGCTGTATTTTGACAAAGTTCCCTTCGCAAAATCCTTCAAACCTTGGCATAGCTTGGACTTGGTAACCAACCAACCGGTCTGGGCGACTGTTTCTACGTATGGTGTAACAGCCGACGTCCGTCTGACTTGGTAAAACCGTAAGAGATAGGAAGATAGCGGCTCGGTTGATCACGGTTATAGGTATGTTTCAATGTGCGTAAGTAAATCCTATACATTAGGTAGATAGTCAACGCTTCACTTACACCTTCCTATATATACGTATGACGTACTAGCACGAATATGTGTATAGTACCATGTATGAGTGGGTGTGGAAGCTTTCAGCTACTTCTAGAAGAAGTCTAATGGTGTGTAAGGAGATGGGGCAGGTGGTGGGTAGGTAGGTAGGTACCTAAGGTAGATAAATCGACGGCACAAGTAAGCGGGTATTGTAGTTAGTTAATTAGTTACCTCCATAGTTATATCTATCTACCCTATGTTACACACACACTTATACAAACTATCTACCTACCACTTGAGGCGTAGGGGCTAAACTATACTCTACATACTTACCAGGATTCATTGGTTGGTCTCCACGCGGGATAAAACATCGTTACGTATCTATCTTGCGAGAGCACGTAAGCTGATTTTACTGAGTATACATTTCGATCATACCTTAAGTACCGACCAACTTACCTGCCCGAGATGGATTGGCTCCAGTACCTAACGGCACCGTCCGGTACTGAGTCCGGACTGAACAGCTGAAGAACTGATAGATATGAGGATATGATAAATAGATAAGGTGGGTTAAGTATATTATATATTATATATTATATATCATAGTTATATTATATTACTAAGCCCTATCATCTGTCTTTACGTGTATGTCTAATATATCTAATAATAGTCAACAACATACCGTTGATAACTTTTCAAAACTAAACAACTCGAGTCCCGTTCGTTCGGTTCAAGTACTATCATTTCATAAGTCCTTGTGTCATACAATAAAGTCTGCTGACTTGGTTCCAGTATCGAGTATCTAAGGTATACTAACACTAGGTCGTAACCAAGTATCCGGTATATCGTGCCATGTGCTCTTCAAAATCATCTCCATCTCTCAGCCCGAGACTTACACACTTACACACCTACACACGCGCACATGCACATATATACATGAAGCATACACAAGTTTCAGCTTCCCAAACCCGCTATTCTTTATAATTCCTCGCCACGAGCACTAGTACATTGGGTAGGCGAGAACCTCCTAATTTTTCTCCCGTTACGTATTCATCCCACTCTGCAGCTAAGTAGGCGTGGGTATTATAAGTATTTTCCTCTTTACCCCCATTCTCCTAACGTAAAATCCCGTGGTATCATGTATATCTTAGTAAAACAGAACCACCCATCCGTCGCCATGCAGATCCTATTGTACAAAAGGCAACTCCCAAAAAAAAAAGAAGGACAATGGGGCCTTATCTTTTGCCTCGTGGGTCGCGTCCCAAATGCCACCTCGAAACGCCTTGCCAAGTTTGAAGAACTGCTATTTTCTCTTTCCAGCAGAAACTACTTTGCCATACATCGGCCACCCCTCGACCTTTACCCCTGGCCTAGACCTCCAATCATACGCCCACACGGCATTTTGTATAACCTCTTCAATGATATTTTCGTTGTCCTAGTTGGACTCCTAATTTTATCCCCAGCAGACTATCCCTTTTCCTTCTTACTGCCCTTCTTATCTCGTCTTGTACAAGCCTGTTTAATTTAGTTCATAGCCCCCTGTTATACATGTCATGGTTAAATAGATGAAATCTAGATGGTAGATGGTAATTGATAAATGGACAAAAAACGTTGACGTATTGCCGCATCTTATCGTTAAATCAGTTCCCCTTAGTCGCAGATTATTTTTCAAATCTGTCGTTCATGCTCGCGCCGAAGAGAGAAGGTAGTATCTGGGTTAGGTGCTTATCAGTACTGCAAAGTTGGCTCAACGGCGCTTGACCGACTCGACGAGCGAAGTGCCGTTGTCGTAATCCCAATGTCGCTTGAGACCACCCTCGTAGACGCTAGCCACAGACTGCTGCCACATGGCTGGAGTAACAAAGGTTTGTACGGGCGGAGCCGAATACTGTTGATGCGATAAGGGCTGCGTCACGGCTGGTAGAGATGCGCCTGCAAGCTGCATGTCCTGTGACGTCGGGACTTCGGGGGCACCTGAAGATGAGGGAACACTTAGAGAACTGGACTGTGGAGCCACTGAAGTTGGCTGAGATTGGATTTGCTGCGTACCGAATGTCGAGTTCCATTGCCTACAATGATTTTATGGTCAGTAAAGGCCTAGCCTATCGCCATAGGATAATCGAATAAACTCACTCGAATAGACGCGAGGGATTCCACGTGGGATGATCCCCTAGCGATATCGCGCTCGACAGTGTCGAGGCGTGTGCACTCTGGCCGGGATTCATTATAGAGAGCGACTGTGCAGAAGGAGAGTCACTCTTGTTGTCCGCGGAACCAACGGAGATAGGTGTGATAGGATGGTTGGCATAACTAACTTGCGAGTGCTGACCGGTCTGTGGGTCCATACCATGGTCCAACGAGCTCGTCTGCAGCATAGGAGGCTTGAACGTGTTAGCAGTAGGCGGGCTTGAGTGACTACTAGGATGCGGGCTCCCATAAGGAAAACTCGGCTTTAAGATGAACGGTTTCCTGACGTCTGCCGAGAAGGCCTCCCGCACGGCATCAATTTGCTTCAACATTTCTGGCAGCGGCCAAGAATGCATCGTCCTCTCCAAAACCCTCATGTGCCGGGTGAAGTAATCTCGCGCATCGCCGTTGAGCTCCGGATCAGGGGAAGTCAACGCAACCTGAAAAATCGTTAGTTTTCGTTTCTCTTAACTTCTAATGTAAAAAATAAGGAAAAATGTAGGGACGCACAAGATGGAGGACAATGCAAGAAAGGATAGCGTATATAGTAAAACTGATGCCTCGTTGCATGCATTGAAGCCCGCTCAGGCCGAAAGATTGTAACATCGATTCCTGGAGACGGCAAAGAGCCTTGGCCGACGAGTAGCAAAGAAACATATGTGATTTCCACTGCCCGTCGGCGCCCATTGGTTCTAAGAAGGATAACTGCGGCCGGTGAAGTATAATGACGCTTAAGTAATAATAAGAATGCATATTTCCAATAAAATGCGAAGGAAGCCACGGAGGCGATCCATCCGAGGGAAATGTGAGGCGTAAATCAGGCGGTAGATCGCTAAGCCATCCCGTTATGGACGGGTTAAGCTGAACCAGTTCGGGGTCGATGCCCCAATCCTTCTTCCTCTTGATCTTGGCGTAGACAGCGTTCACCCGATTCAGGTTTCGGGCAACGCGAGCCAGGTACGCAAAATTTCGACTCGCATTATATTCCGATTCCTCGCAACCGGGTAGAAGCCTCGGAATGCTAAAATCAACAGAATCGGCGTCTACAGAGAGATCTTGTCGCCCTAAATCACGTTTAGAACCTCTAGAAGCAACCGGTCCTAGAATCGAGCTAACTTACCTTGTGGTGCGGCTATCATAGTTTCGCATACGAATATAGTCTGCCATATACGGCTCTTCGTGAAACACTCTCCGTGAGAAGAGCCGCATGATTTACCAGCTCTGTGAGTATCCATATGCTCGTCGAGTCCGAGATCTTTAGCCATAGCGACGCAATGCACAATAGACATCCAAGACCGATAGTAGTAGCCACGTTTTGGCGAAGCCTCCCTCGCTTTCAAAATAATTAAGAGAGCTTGAAGAGTACTTAGACGTGGTATATCCATAAAAGCATCGGCATGTTCTACGTTACGTTAATTTACGTTAGTTCAGCCAGGTACAGAAATTAGTTAAGAGTTCTTACTCGAAGCGAGAGCGATCCATTGTTGTCCTTGTGCCGGCTCATCGGCGAGACGACCGGCAACCGCAAAAATCGCCTCCAACAGTAAAGGGGATATCGATTCCCGGTTTGTGTGCCACTGATGATAGAGTTGAGTCTTATTCAAAACCGGAACGTAAGGGTGTACATTAGTGAAATAAAGTTCAAAATAATGCATGATAGTTGCATCGTCTGGCATTAGTTCCGGAGGTATGCGTATCTTAAGACCAGGCCCAGATGGCATAGGTGGCAGTACGTTCTTGAAATCGTCGTCGTCCTCAATGGCGGGTTCCTCTTCCTCTCCCGCAAATGCCATCTTTTTATTTAGGTACGGAGCTTTAAACAGTCAGCGTTAATACATGGTTCCTTATAAATTAGAGAATGAAACAAACCTGTGCCTGCTTCGTCAACTTTGAGGGCTCCTAAAATATCCGCGAGATCCTGCTGCCCGTAATGGTCTTGGTAAGACCCGGGAGACGGCTCGGAGTGCACAGAATGCTGATGCATCGGCGGAGTTGAAAACACGCTAGTGGAGGCATACGACTGGTCCATCACGCCTACTTGGGAAGGCATAGTAGCATACTGGAGCTGGTGCGGCGGTGGAGGCGGGTCTCCATACGGCATCGGGGGGTATACACCTTGATGTTCGGGATAAGGACCGGGCGTTGGATACATGGTAGCCTTCGGCTGACCAGCCATCATAGGCTGTGTAGAAGACTGAGGCATGGACATAGCTCTGAAGCTATCCTGCCCTGACGCGACATCGTATTCCGATCGTCCGGCTTCATAGGACTGACCTTCCGTCGGCGAGCCTTCATACTGCCCATTGGGTCTTACACAGTGGAGCTTCAACCGGATACAAGCAGAACAAGGCCATGTATTTGTCGTCGCAGCATCACATTTGATTTTTCTCCTTCTACAACCCTCACACGCTCTCATCACTAAACATTAGTAGTTCCATTAGTTACGATTCTTTCAGTATAATATCAACACATGACGATGCTCATACCCTTCAACCGCTTATGGCGGTTATGTTCGTCCACAAATACATAATCTACAAATTAAGCAGTTAGAACATAGACGCTACACGGTTACGGGCATACTCATAGGGCGCACTTTTTTGAGTCTCTCTAGGCGGCTGATAAGTCGGCGGCGCAAAGGAAAACGAGTTCAAAGATGAATTAGAGCTCTGCGGTAACAGCCTCCGAACGGACTGATCGTTATTCGACATGACTTGCTTCGCCTCTCGGCGGGTACTGAACCCTCACGACCGGGTCTAACAAACTATGATCCTCCGGATTTTAATAATTGACCATTGGTTCGTATCGAAAACGTATGGAGTTGGATCGCTGTGGCTGGTCGATCGCTAGTATTCTTCAGTAAGTGTTTAGCTGAGCGCCGACACAGCGGATTAGTTACAAGCAAAAGCAAAAGTAAAAGCAAAAGCAAAAAAAACAAACAAGCAAGCAAGTAAGGCGAGGTAAGGCGAGGCAAGACAAGACGAGGCAAGGCGGAGGGAAGGAGTTTAAGGTGACCTAAGTACAGCTTAACGGTATTAGAAATATCGGCAGGCTGTAAAAAGGATGTTTAAGGTTAAGGACCTACGAGGTACTGCGGTACTGCAGTTGCAGTTGTGCAGTGGGAGGGAGGCGGGACGGGTCATGGATGTTAGGTAGTGGGCTCCATGAAAATGGTCCTTTTTTTTTTTGCTTTTCGAAAGGAAAGACCCGATATTCAGGTAGGTGAGGGGATAACCATGCGTCGCCCATGAGTCCAGCGGAAAGAACGCCAGGACCCAAAAAACGGGGGCATATGAACATATGCTTGTACACTACTCGTACACTACTCACTGCATTGTAACTAATTGGTGTGGTGTAATGGGGATATGGGTACACTGCACGACTGAGTACTGCACGACTGAGTAGTGTATGAGTAGTGTACATGTACCAGTTGACCATGCTTGCAGCTTGCCATGGACTTGCATGGAGTCGAGAGGGGCCGAAAGGCGCGAAGGGGGGTGGTTCCTTGTGGAGCCCCCCCTGCTTTACTTGCCTTCCTTGCCTTCTTTGCCTTCCTTGTCTTCGCGTGGTTCCTGCCGGCCCCAATATGAGCCTGCTTACAGATTACGTACCTGTACTTACATGTAATTCCTATACTTCTACATAGGTAGTATAGTAACTACATAAGGTAGTTACCTCTTAGGTAGATAATTGTGTAACCTGAACTGGGATTTGTAAGAACTTTACTCAATACCTTTTTGTAAAATACATACCTATTACCTACTATGTAATAATAATAATTGTTATAATATTAGTTAGCCTATTCTAGGTAATCATTGACTAAAAACCTGTTTACTTATTTTTAAAAGTCGCATGATAATAGAAAATAGAAAATAAAAAATAGAAACATCGGTAATGTTTATATTAAGATCTTCTTCTATATGCGCAGTTCGGTATATACAGCGCATAAAGCTTGGTCTTTTTCTCGACAATTTAAACATCCTCGGTTGGATATATTGTGGTGGTTAATCAATCTAAAGATCGATCGCTAGCTCTAATGGTTCGCAGGATTTAAAAGTCGTCGTTGGTCTAAAATATGGTACTGGTGCGGGCCAATACCGCGCTTCAACACATGTACCGTATCATCGATAGCTCGGCTCCGTTCTCGTACATACACTACACTACATATACCTACATACATGTAGTAACTTAGCTCACATTAGCGCATCAAGCCAGGAGTTTATTACCTTGTAGCCAACTGCCTACTCTATATACCTCCTAGGTACCAGGAAAATCGATGCCATTCGGCCGGGAGTCGAAGCAGACACCAGCTCCTTAACACTTATGTGTGCACGGAACAAGTCTAGAAGATGCGCCGAGTGTCCACCGTCCTAAGAAGCTAGGCATTTGCCGTCAGAGACTCTCCACCTGTTATCGTCTCACATTAGGCGCTATTAAAGAAATAGAAAACGCAGAAGCCGTCACACGATGCGCCACCTCAGCGTACTATGTAGGATACGGGGTACTTTGTTACTGTAGTAGGTCACCGATGGTTATTAACAGGCCCGATATAGGGTTGAAACGTTTTAAGGAGTACCAAGCGCATCAGATGTCAATTCTAACATTCTAGTATTCTAGTATTCTAGCTCTCCCATACGAGATGTACCTACGGTACTCGAGTAAGGTGTCGTGGCAAGTCAATAGCCGCCGAGGCTGCAATAATAATGATAATAGTAAGTGACCTACATAACATGGTAGCATGCCAAATCATGTGTATGCGTTCCTGGGAGGGGAATAGGGCTGCGAGGTGCATAACCTACATACCTACCTACATATGGACATACATACATACATACATACATATACACACATACATACTGCGGACGTTCATCATACATACCTCGACGTAATGGTGGCTGCCAATGCCCATGCCGCTCCGAGCGAACATGTATGTAAGCCTACTTCTGAACCAGATCAGGGGCAACGCACTTACATGCTGCCGACGTGCGTGGAGTCGTAGACAACCAACCGGCAAACATCTCGGGATCTTTTCTAGCGCCTACAATTACAGCGAAACCGAACCCAATCATCACCAGGTACCTCTTCAAAGTTCACCTTCACCTACGATAGACACCATCATTCAGAATCGTCTCCTTTTCTCATTAGTACGCAGATTAGCCCCTGCAGACCGTCCCTGATTTCATGTCGACGGTCCTGGTATTAACTAGGAGACTAGCGGTCAGGTCTGCATGCGCCAACGCCTGCTAGGGGAGCTCTCGCGTGTCTCCCAATTCCAATGGGTACGTAGGCTAGCTGGAGGAAGAGAGTTGCAAACGTGTGGAAGCGACCTGAGCGAGCACTTGCATCTGCATTGCAGGAGGCAATAGGAGCGGTTATATAAACGATTGACAATGTAAAGGACTGCTATCCTTGAAGCGATAATTGGTCGTCGTCAGCCATCTTTCGCTTACCCGCGTTCCCCCGTCTCGTTGTCACGCAAGGCTCACTAATCAGAGATCAGAGACCCCTTTTTCCCACAATACGGTACGCCATCTGTACGTCGTATTACTCATGCCAGTTGAACCCTAAACCTAATAGACTGATAGATGACACCGTCGTGACGGGATTGATCATTGATCATTGATCATTGATCTACCTACGTATACAGGTACAGTAGATAGGTAGGGATTCAACTGCCCGAAGACCCGAGACATCCTAGTTGTTTCCAGGTAGACTGTTCCCCCATGAGGATTTATCCAATCAACGAGCTTTTACGTTCCAACCTTACCGAAGGAGGATTAGGACTATGGAACTAATTGATTTGTGATAATATAGTCATCAATAATCGTGGTTCGCTAGATCGTCCCCTAGGTGGTCCCCTAGGTGCAAAAAAGCACACCGTCGCATTCGCAAATCGATAGGCGCAAGCTGTGTCACTCTTTGTGCGTTGCAGTTATAGGGTTACGAATGGCAGCGAGAACCTCACACTTGAGTACTGCATATCAGATATATGATATATGAACTAAATATAGGTTTAATCGAACACCGCATGATATAATTTCGACCCGGTGATAAGGGTTCATGGCGAATCTCGCTGGAAGATGCGCAGCGCAGCGGATCTTGGGGTATGTAAGCATAAATACGGGATATTGGCAGGGCTGAAGGATCAAGAATAGTCGCTTCTTATATTAAAAGAGCAGCACATAGCACGTGCCAAATACTTGGGACGGTTAGTTCCGTACGATGACAGACTTTCCCGATCGAGCTTAAGAAATGCCGTTATTCACCTCTTTCTGGTAAACTTGACCGGAGCATGCGACATATTTGGACTGTCTATTTATTCACCTGTAGATCATCAGGTACGGTGGTCTGGATCTGAGAACGGGAACGGTGAACAGGCCCAGATCGAGAACGCTCCGTGTACCTGACAGCCTAGATGCTAGGTTAAAATAATTAACCTAGCTTCAGCTGAAGTGAGATTGAAAATTGAAAAGAACAAAAAAAAGAAGGCCCTTAAAAAAAAAAACTATAAGTATAATGACCCGCATAACGTACGGCTTTTTCCCGGAATTACATATTTATGGCGCCTCTTGCCATCCGCCATAAAAAGTTCCCAGCGGGAAAGAGGAAAAGCTCAATGTCCGATGATATCACCGATAACACAACTTTTAGATATGGTGACGAACGGGGTCTTGCTAAATTCATTGCGCATGAATTTCGAATCAGTGAAACAGCCGCAGCTCGTTGCAACGGTTGTATCACATATCCGGCACCGTGCCCGCCGAGTCTACCCCCCCTTGCATCTAGCCCTGAGGAAATCTGTCGCGTTGCATTTGTTCGCGTCAAAATATCAAAGATTCTCAAATTCAGGGGCAGGTGACCGGTCGAATATCTGGAGAAAAAACAAATGTCGTATGGTTTATATTTATAGAATTGGTTAAGGGTTGTCTACCTTAATTATAATGAACGGTAAATTCCGTTGGGGGACGGTAAATACATTTCGAATATGGTCCGAATTAAAACCGCTAATTATTAATATTTTGATAGTATCAGTACATAGGTACATTCCATCCTAGCTTGTCTGGGTACATCTTGTCTTAGGTACATGATGTAGGGACTCCCCAGAATACTACGCTAAAAGTTGCTCAACTTTTTTTTTCCTTTTCTTTTGTCAGCAACCAATGATATACATTATAATTGAAGTTGATGGCTTACCATAGAAAAGATACCCAATTAGGTACTGATTTGATAAGATGGATAAGATAAAAATCGGGCTAATAATATCCCGCGTAAGCCCCACCGCCTTTGAGCACCGCATTCGCCATACTGAAAGGTCCCGCAATTAGTGATTACATCAATTTGATCACTACAACAAACAAAGCCGTGGGGTCGTACACATCTTTCACCAAATAATCCTTGCCACAACAACCTCTCCCAATTTTCGCATCATTTTGCATTATATAATATTATATCGAGACTATTCGTATTAGTTAATCGAGTTCAAGGCACATAAAACTACCAAACGTGAAAACATTCTTCATTAATATTCACGTCTATCAAGATGGAAAAGGATAATGCCAATCCTACTATCCTAAACACTTCTCAGCTTCCGACAAGACAACGTAAGAAGGGGCGCAAAGTTCAAAGAAATGACGTGGCCAAAATCAGTAATATCATGCGAAAGCCACAATACCTATCAGATCCCTTCTACAATATCTCGTGGTCTGATGACACAGAGAGCGATGACGAGTTCACTGCAGAGCCCATTGACGAACAGGAAGTATACGGTAAGATAACCCTACTCATCCACATTTCAGTTTGGAGATGGGATGACTCTGAGTTACCAGCATCATTATTTTTTTTGCTTTTCCCATCTTTCACGTGGCATATTTAAATGTCAGATTCTTATCACCCCCCACGCCCAGATGTTCCAGATATTCTACCCTGAAACCCATGATATGACATGGTCTTTCTCAACCATACTATGTAGAAACAACTACTCTACTTGATCTAGCGGCTGACATTTTTCAGATCTGATATCGACCATCTCTGACCCTGAGCATCCACTTTCCTTAGGTCAACTAGCGGTGGTTAATTTGCCTGACATTCATATAACACCGTCTCCATCAGCAGGTGCGGATCCCAATACTTTGACGCGAGTCTTGGTCGAGATCACCCCTACCATTACCCACTGTTCACTGGCAACCGTTATCGGCCTCGGTGTACGAGTACGTCTAGAACAAGCACTTCCTCCCAACTACCGAGTGGATATCGTGATCAAAGAGGGAACTCACAGCCAGGACGACCAGGTAAACAAACAACTAGCCGACAAGGAAAGGGTTGCCGCAGCCTTAGAGAATGATACCCTTAGGGGCGTCCTAGACAAGATGCTGGAGACTTGCCTATGAAAAATATATTTCATAGCTATATAATATTGACATAGCTCATGGATGATGATTCTTGAGCGATTTTATTAAATATGTATCGCTACAAAAAGTAACGATAGCATCTACAACATCCCGCGTTTGGTCGGAATTTTTGATGTCGGCATCTGAACTACCTAAAACGGACGACCGGTGCATGAATATCGGCCTATCAGCTGCTTGGATGTTCGGAAACCGGGCTCTGCCTGCCGTGGCATCCTCGAAGGCGACAGTTATAGTAGAAAGATCCACACCGGCTTCGAACCCGGCCTAATCGCCAAGCCGTTACCGGTCATGCGCGGGCAAGACTCGGCGGTGAACCTGTAGATTTTCTGCGGGATCATGTAGCCTATGAATATGGAGTGGTCTATTCGCTATTAGGCATTTTAGTTACAATGTAAGTAACAACGATGTCTAATAAACACTAAGTCTATGAGACCCCTAATACTCAAGTTATGATAATTGCTTCGAAATATAAACAATTCACCTTGTAGATATGTTGTTTTATTCAAGTGTGGGAAGTCCTAATAGATTTGGTTTGCCATTGTATTTTTAGCCCCAGCATTGGCATAATCTACTTCTCATACTTTGATACTTGCTTTTAACCCATATTTCTCGAAATCTTATTGTCACAGCCTCATATATTTTCAAGGAGACAGTTAATAAGGCAACTAACCAACTTCAAATAAACTATAATTACGTACGGCTAAAAATGTTCTAAACCGGTTTAATCGGCCCTTGTCACCCTAAAGACGATTAGATCATAGGTAAATCACGTTAAGATCAGCGATTCCAACCTTGGTTTTTCGCAACCGGGGAACTTCGTATTCACCCTAGTGTGGATCCTCCCATAAGTTCCGGCATGGGGACACACGAGATGAAGCTGTCAACGTTCGGCGCGAAGGCGCGCTTAAAACCGATTTAGTCGTAGGTGAAAAAAAGGTTATGCTTAAATCTACGTCGTATAATCTCGTGTGGTAAATGAGAGAGAGAGTTTAGTTATTCGGGACTTAAATGCTTATATAGTTTATTAATAGTAACTACATATTACATAGTATGGATTAATAGCGAGTTTTGATGTCAAGGTATCTCGTTGCTACGAAGCCTATATCATAGACTTAGGTAGGTTAGGTACCTAAGGTATACAGACAAAATACTCATAGGAAAGAAACACTAACTTGGGGTTCTCTACATTCATCCTCTGGCTTATAAGCGGGCTTCTAATATTAGTTTACTCAAGTAGGTACTTGTCAGTTAGCTTTCTTCAAGGTCACCAGTCGCCACTGTTCTCTTCGGCCCCTCTTGGTTCGTGCCCCCTTTTCACTCGCTTCCCACTATAGCTATTACTACTACTGTCACGACGTCTCATGCATCGATGTCAGTGTGAGCAACCGTATAGTTACTTCTCCTAACTATACATAGAAGGAGATATACCTGCAAGAGCTCCTGTCAAGTCGACTTGTCTACTAGTTACCGGCAGGCGGATGAGATCCGGAGCTGCCGGTCTCCTTGATATCTTGTCGACTTGATAAACTTGATAGTAAGCTTCATATAGAATCTTGCATGCTTCGAGTGGTATAATGGAGGGTAAGAGTAAAGAACGGCTGTATCAGGTTTCGATCTAAGGGGCAGGGTGTCATGGTATGCGAGCATCTTGCTTCTCTGTACACATAGTGACAGTAATGGGAAGGACCTCTGCTCGCTTTCGTTCCTTGAAATATCAAATCTTTTTTTTCTTTCTTTCTAACTATAGAATATATCTTCCCGTCCTCGGTTATGCGTGCTTGAAACTCCCGTGATTTACTACCGACTGCTATCTCATAACTCACTTACTAGTTGGACATATCGGCTGGTTGACGATGTTGTAGCTCGTAATCCGAGGATTCCGATGCGACCCTCTATAGCTAAAGGAGACTAACTAAAGAATATAGGGAGAATAGCATGCCATAGCACCTAACTTAGTTGAGTTACTCGAGACTGACAGCTTCTGGGGAATACATCTCCCTTGACGTCTTGTGTCCGGAATCCTCCCGCTCTACCGCATCTCATATACCTGCGGCTAACTAATATTGATAGCACATAGCTCAACTACATCCTCACGTTCATCAACACCTGTAGCTTCTACTAAAGACAATAGAAATACTTCTACTCCTAATACCAACCTTACTAACATGATCTTGATACCGTCTCGATTCAACACAAGCACTCTCCGTGTACACCAGAAAATACTATCACATACATATCTATCTAAACTAGACTTGTCATTCCTCACTCTCCAGTACCAATACCGTCGTAACAGAAACCCTCAAGGGCCCCCTATTAACCAGCGAATAGCAACAGCCCTCGGCTCCTGTAACAACGCACGGCGTATGGGAAAACGCCAAAAATGGAACCGTAAGAGAGAGAGAAAGAGAGAAAGAGAGACATATCACCTATATGCATGTAACTCGGAAACGACTGGCGCGAGAGAGAGAAGAAGAAACTGCAATGTAGATCTTTCACACATTCATACATCCGCACACACTCGCCTATATCTCACATGACTCGAGCATCTTTCTATTCGTCCTGTCTCGTCAGTCGCCGTCATTGTTGGGCTCCCTCTCACCCCCGTTCCCCCAATCCTTCCATCCAGCTTCCAACCCACACCCCCCTTTTCCCCTTGGCTTATCCAATACCCATCCATTACCCTACTAAAACAAACATTTCAACCATTGTCTATCGTCTCCCTGCCACTTCCATCTATCCTTCCCTCCCTCCCTACCTCCTACCTACCTACCTACCTACCTACCTACCTACCTACCTACCTACTTATCCCAAGCCATAACCCTACATATGCACCCGTCCCTCGCTACCACCATCCGGCCCTTCCCGATCCACAGCAGAATCCCCAGATTTCCAGCTAAGCTATTCCCTCCCCTCCCCTCCCCTCCCCATCAGTCACGAGCTAACCAAACCAAACACATAAAAAAAGCGTGGGGGGTATACTACCGGACACATATATCTCAAACACATGCCGCGGGCAAGAAGGCTCCGGTTGGCAGCCGCTGTTACCGTTACTAGCCGCCTGCTGGCGGTACCTCGTATACGTACGCAAAGCCCTATCAGGACAGCCCAGAACAGATAGACATGGGTCACAACCCTCAGGGTTAGGTTAGGCGAGCAGGTAACCAATCACGTCGCACGGTTTCCGGCGTTACTCGCGACAGGGCAGGGCAGCACAGGACAGAGGCTCTTGTTGCTTTGCGATCCTTCTGTCTTTGCCGCGCGAATCACTGGTTAGAAATGTTCTTGGAGGGACAAGGATAGGAAAGAAGTTGGGTTGATCTTGTAAGTTTCTCCCTGTTTATTGAACTACTATAGAGTTTAGATGGCCTTGTGTGCTCTTTACACATTATATCTATCTATTAACCTACGTTGGTGTTTTGTGGGGTAGCCTTGGAGCCGAATCCTTCTAGATCAGCAAGCTTGTGGCCCAGACCAGTCTCCCTTTTACCCTGGCCGCCTATCCGTTAATATGGACCTATAGTAAGCTACTGATGAACTAACTACCCGTGTGCTAACTGTACAATATAGTTGCTAGTATTGTCGAATCTAGGCCCTTTCCTCTGTGCTAAGGGGATAAGGGGAGCCTTCGAAAACTTAGATCTTTCATGGACTACCAAGCGTGCCGCTCTCCATGAGACTTTGATAGAACTCGGGCTCGAGGAATTTCGCCACGCTTACATCCTCGCTGAGACCCTTGCGCCTCCTGGTCTTGAGTACGAAGTCTCTAGCCGTAGCCTGGGCATCAGCGGGTTGTAGGGGTCGCAACACTACCTCCTTATCGAGCGGATCGCCAGGCACCTTCTGCCACTTGTCGAAGACGAGGCTCACCATGGCCTGGCCTTGCGTCTGGATGCGAACGTCCGTTTCGAAGCCGAACGAGTCGATCACCGGAATTAGACCACTGACGCGGTATAGTGGTGTACCTGCGATCGGACCGTCCGATAGCACGTGGCCTCTTCTGCGAGCTAGAACATTGTATAGCACGGGGACGGCATCTTGGGGACCTGTCATCGAGCACGCATACAAAGGTTCCATAAGGCGCGGCGATGCCATGAGGAATGAGCTGTAGCACGTGCGTCGCGCAGTTGGAATGATCTGACCGCCACCCCTGAAGATTGCCTCCTGTGCTAGGGATACGTCCATGATACGAAACTTGGTGTTGCGGATCGCTACAATTTCAATCAAAAGTTAGCAAACTCTTGCAAAGTCAAGGTATAATAACGTCACTGATCGACATCTGGTTCATTCTGTGATATTACTCAATTGGGGGGTATGTCACACACGAATGCAACAAAGGCTGTCATCGAGACAGACCCCCCCCAGTAAGTGAGCCTTTAATACGGGTGCTTCGGTGTGTCAGTGCCTCGTACCCCTGGTGTGCGTAGACTTCGCCTTACGGGTTCGATAGACGAAGTCTGATCGAATCTGCACAATGCACAGAGCAGGGTCCCTAGTCCCAAGAACTCGTAGCTTATGTCTTGGCAAGGTACGGACATGGGTTGCAGTCCATGTTTGGAGCTTGTCAAGTTACCTAACGCATAGTGTGATAGGTCTATCTCCACGTTTGCCGTAACACTATTTTGAATGGTCCTTTGACGCCTAGCGCCTTGGGTATTTCGAGTAGGAGACGCAAGCTGCTACGCTAGTAACAGTAGGACGCATTCGCGTCTCGCTCCAATGCGTTAATGGCTTGTGAGCAACGAGGTTGCTAACCTCGGCATGAACGATTTTGAGTGGTAAACGGTAAACGTATGTATGGAGCTTAAGACTAAAGAGGTTCTAGATGGGATGTGGCGGAAAGCGTGGGATCGACGCTGGGTTGGGTAGGAATGACAATAAACTGCAACGGGATGTAGGTACTCACGTTCTTCACATAGAGGGCCTTCTCTGGTAGCCCAACTAAACCCTTGGCGAATAGTCTCGCGCACGCTCCTGAGAAGCGTCTTATCCACCTGCCGAAAAGATTAGGTGTGATCCAAGTAGAACAAGATTCTAGAATTCTGAGGCTGAAATTGCGAAGGTATTGCCGCATGCGGACCCATAGGGTGACACTCCACGCTACAGAAATCGCATGTGTAGTAAGACGCCGAGCTTTCAAGGTCACAATATGGTGGGGGAAAACGATAGAATGGTCGACTTACCTCGAGTGTGTCGTCCTGCAAGATATTAGGTCCCTTCTCATCCGGGCCGAATGCCCAAATGCTCCTCGCGGCCAGCAGATCCCATCCGTACTTGTCCTGGAAGAATTTGCCCACTTTTCGGGCACCGTCTTGCATCTTGACGCGGCCGCTCTCTATATCTTCCGCGATTCCGTCGTCGAGCGGCTCGGCGACCATAGTAATCTTATTCTTCTTGTTCGGTGTAATGGCGTAGCATTTGGTAGCTGACATCTCGTCTACTGTCTCGCAGAAGCGCGTGACGGGATCCGAAACCTTGATTTCCATATCTGCGTACAACCGTCGTAGGTCGTGGAGAACACAGTCCATATACAGTTCGCCAGTACCTAAAATGATGTGCTCGCCCGATTCTTCTACCTTGGTAGTGATCAGAGGGTAGCTTTTGTTAATTTTTCGTAAGCCGTCAAGCATCTTGGGTAGCTCCGAAGGGTTGATGGGCTCGACTGCCACCTTCAGAACCGATTCTGTGAAATGCGTGACCGGTCTGAAGATGTAGGCTTCCTCATCATCCTCGAGTTTCGGTGGTACTATTGTCGCCGACTTCACGATCGAATTGTCAACGCCGCTTAGTAGCACCCAGTTACCAGCGGGGACTCCGTTGGTTTCGACATTGTATCGCGTCTCAGCGATGTAGACGTTGGAAATAGTAGCCGTAGCCATATCCTCCTCATCGTCGATGGAATAACCCTCCCCGAGCACTCGCACTTGCATTCCAGGTCGAGCAATACCACTCATCACCCGGCCAAACGAGTAGAAACTCTTTGCATCTGAAGAATTGAATAGCTTTGTGATGTGTACAACCAATGGGCCATCTTGGTCGCACTTCTTCATAGATTCGGCTACCTTGGTGTCTAAGGGGCCGGTATAATACTGCTCCAACTTGCGTTCCGCTGCTTCCAACGGAGATGGAACATTCTTGACAATCATATCGACGAAGCCAGTTGACGGGCCGAAGAACTGTTCACAAACCAGCTTAAGCAGCACCTTAGCATCCGTCTTGTACTGTGACGGCTTTAGTACTATGCCTAGCGTCGCCAGTACACTCTTCAGTTCTTCGGGGCTCTGGCTGATAGTATGGGAGAAAACCTTATAGATAGGCTCTAAGACGAAGTGAATAAACGATCTCTTTGCGCGCTCCTCGCCGGGCAAAGGTTTCCTGCTGAATGTTCTCTTCTTCGGATTAAAGTAGATATCACCCCAGAGGCGTTTGGCGAATTCCTCGGTATTCACACCGGGGAAACTATCCGCGTACATCTTTGAGAAGGACTGCAGCGTAAAGCACCAGCCCATCTCGCTACACGCGAATAGCACGTTCCCCTTCTCTGGACTTAACCGCTTCTGATCTCCGGAGCCTGGTCGAGTATTTTCGATGACTGTATTCACCTCCTCGATAACGTGTTTTAGCTTGAAATAAGCATCGCTCGGTGGCAGTCTTAGTTCTAGTATAAGCCTATCGACCTTGTTGATTATTAAGGTCATCGGAATATCTTCGAGAACGGCATGCTTGATGATCTGCTCCGTGTTGACCTGTACTCCTTCCACTACATCCACGACCAGCGCAACGCCATCCACCAGCCTCAACGCCGCTGCAACCTCGTCGACGAAATTAACGTGACCTGGGGTATCTATTATATTGAACAAGTGAGACTTGCCCTTAGTGCTCTGTAAGACTAAGCTCATTGGTGCCGCCTTTACGGAAAGGCCCCTTTCCCTCTCTACTACGTGCGTATCAGTATATCGTAGTTGCTCGTCTCTCTTTCTACCCGTTCGCTTTTCTAGCCTGTCGGATATATCATGCGTCTCGAGGACTAGCATATCCATAAACGCGGTCTTGCCATGATGTAAATCCCCTGCTAGAGCTACATTCCGTATTTGATCGGGAAAGTTCATAAGATCGGTCATGAAATTACGGTCGAAATGGACGGGAGGAAGGTCGACCTCTTCGATAGAAAACTTCTTCACCTCGACAGGTGCAACGATCGGTTGTGAGAGCGGCTGTGCATCCTCCTCTTGCACTAACGTTTCGACGTCTGCTCCGTATACTTGTTGCGCCGTCGGGTAATATTGCTTGTCTTCATGTAATATCACCGCATTCGAGGGCCCTTCATTATCTACTTCCATTAATTCCTGCCCTGTAACTTCAGGCGCCTCCTCGGGATATTCGTCATCGAGATACGCGCCCGCGTCAACGCCATGCTGGGATTCTTCTTCAGATGCTTCGGCATCCTCCCCGATGAAATTTCCGAACCTAGTCAATATAGTTAGCCAATGAGTAGAACGCAAGTAAATATATATATACGTACTCATCATAAAGGTCATCCATGGCGTAAACAAAGCTTAGGTGTAGGTCAATGGGGTTTGGAGTAGAAATACGACGATAGCTTGTTGTCGCGCTTAGAAAAGTTACAAAGTCAAGATGCAAGGCTGACTATAGCGCGTTCTATGCTGTGGCTAATGGCAAATTTATTTTAGTGGCTAATGACAAGGCTAGGTCATGTACGTAATATGCTCCGATAAGCGGACAGTGGCTTAACTTTTTAACTTATCTAACGGCTTAGGTTAGGATTCTCCAATCTCAAGACCAAAACACCAACCCCACTATCCTATTCGGTACCTAGGTACCCAGGTAGGCAATATCCTTACTTCTTAGGTTGATTCGGTAAGGTAAGGTACGACCAACGAATTGATTTTTGGGGAGTTGACCTAACCGAAGTAAGTTTAATGGATACTACATGTATTGTATGACTATACTAAACTTGGTTAAGGGGAGGAAACTCCAATCATTTGCTAGTTACTTTTTTATGTAACTATACTACATTGTTTACAACTCAACTTAAGTGAGTTCCAAGGTACCTCATCCTACTCCATCCAATGCGAAAGGTACAGGTATTACAGGTAGGTAGGGGTCTAACCGCAGATCCGCTATATTCGGTAGCACACGGTAGCACAATATGCTAGCTAAGATAAAATAACTAAGATAAAAGATAAATGGAGGGGCGGTGAATATTTCCCACCATATCGTCTTTTCTTCTTGAAAAGGGGATTATTTTTGTTATTCTAGTAGCTCAACATTTTCGAGACTGAAATATATAAAATTTTACTTTCTTTTTTTTCTTCTTCTTCTCCTTTTCTTCCGAGTTGTGAGATATTCTGTCATAATTCAACATGTCTAATCTTCCCACCGTCTACATTGTCTCAGCTGCTCGAACCCCCGTGGGGTCGTTTCTAGGGTGAGTTTTACTTTATGTTACGAGCTTCCCCTCCCTCCTCTCTTCTTGATGTAGTTTATGAAACTGACCCTTGGAATTATTAGAACGCTGTCGAGTATCAGCGCCACTCAGTTGGGATCCCACGCTATTAAGGGTATGTCTCACCCAGCTAGGATTACACAGCTTGACTGGTACACTTACACGATTTGTCTATAGCTGCCGTCGAGCGAGTTCCCCAGATCAAGCCCGAAGATGTAGAGGAGGTATTCTTTGGCAACGTGCTGTCTGCCGGGTATGTCTTATTCCCATAGATTTCAACGAGTAGAGTGAGGGGAAGCTAACATTAGATTTCTAGTCTTGGACAAGCACCCGCTCGACAATGCGCTATCGGTGCTGGCCTTCCGGAATCGGTCGTCTGCACTGGAGTGAACAAGGTCTGCGCTTCCGGCCTAAAGGCCATCATTCTGGGTGCCCAGACCATCATAACCGGCAATGCCTCCATCGTTGTGGCCGGCGGCACCGAGTCCATGTCCAACACCCCTCACTACCTACCAACCCTGCGCAACGGCGCCAAGTTCGGCGACCAGACCCTCGTTGACGGTATGCTGAAGGATGGTCTGACCGATGCCTACGCTAAGGAACACATGGGTCTCGCCGGTGAGCTATGCTCCTCCGACCACGGCATCTCTCGTGAGCAGCAGGACGAGTACGCCATTGAGACCTACACCCGCGCCCAGAAGGCCACCGCCGATGGTATCTTCTCCAAGGAGATCGTGCCCGTCGAGGTCAGCGCCGGCCGAGGCAAGCCCCCAGTTCAGATCACAACCGACGAGGAGGTCAAGAACCTGAACCCTGAGAAGCTAAAGACAGTGCGCCCCGTCTTCAAGCCCCAGGGTGGTACCGTCACAGCTGCTAACGCCGCCCCCCTTAACGACGGCGCTGCTGCCCTCGTGCTCATGTCCGAGGCCAAGGTCAAGGAGTTGGGCGTAACACCCATCGCCAAGATCCGCGGTTGGGGTGACGCCGCCCGCGAGCCCCAGCGCTTCACCACCGCGCCCGCCCTTGCTATCCCTAAGGCTATCAAGCACGCCGGCTTGACGGACAAGGATATCGACTTCTACGAGATTAATGAGGCTTTCTCGGTTGTCGCCCTAGCTAACATGAAGCTGCTCGGCCTCACCAGCGACAAGGTAAACGTTTTCGGTGGCTCCGTTGCTATCGGCCACCCGCTCGGCTGCTCCGGTGCCCGCATCGTCACCACCCTGACCACCGTCCTGCGCGAGAAGAAGGCTAAGATCGGCGTTGCTGGTATCTGCAACGGTGGTGGTGGCGCCAGCGCTATCGTCATCGAGAGCTTAGAATGACTACATGAAGGCGGGGAGGAGACGGTAATCCGTACGAGACGGGATTCACGAATATAATGAAATAAGTGAACGCGTATCATCGATCTACCTGAGTAATGTTGCAACGCGTTAAAAGAACCATGGCCATTCAACTGCCAAAATGATGAAAAAAAGAGCGTAGGCAAATGTAGAGCTATTTTTTGCTCGAGGATGGGGGAAAATAGGAGATTTAATACATACCCAATATCTACCTTATTTAGCTTAAGTGGTAATTCTACACTTCTGAAATCCCCATGAAACTGACAGGTTATGGTATTCTTCTATGTGATGTCCTAGTGTAAGTACACTGTCACACTTTGTGCTTCTCTCTCGGCTTCTAAGTATTTGAAATAATAATGTTCGCTGCTATGAAAATCACAAAAAGGACATTAAGACCATCAAGACCACCATTGGTGTATACACAGTGTATTTAGTGTCGGTCAGCATATGTATAATACAAACTAATGAGAAAAGCAACATCCTATCCGATTTATTCGGCCTCGATTCCACGTATGCTACAAATAGAAAAAGGAAAAAGGGTCTTCGTGCAAGGTAGGATATCCACTCAAGTACCAACGCCCCAGCGCCAGTCGTGATGCCTTTATGCTTATGCGTAATCAAATCTCACTACCATCTAATCACTCCTCCTGGGGACGGGTACTTAGCCAAACCGAGTACTAGTACGCGAATTCGGAGTAGGCATCTACCTATTCAAGCCCTTCCATATTCTCGCTATCTTCTCCTCGGCCGTTGGTATTGGGCGAGACGCCGTCCTTGAACCACTTCTGGAAGTTCTCGTTGACCTTCTGGACCTCGTCCTGACTCATCCCCCGCATCCAAGCATTATTCATAACCATCTTCTCTCGGAACCGCTGCTCGCGATGTTCAGTGATAGCGCGGCGGTACTCCTCAACCGCGGCCTTGTCCTTGTCATCCTCGGGTTCTGTTGAATAGACAAAGAACTCGGACGTGTCCTTTTCCCAGACGATCTTATTGGAGTTAAGGCAAATACGTAAGACTAAGCCTTCGTTGTACATGAGAGGCTTCGGCACATTGCCATCGTCGGAATCAGCTTCGGTCGATGGCAAGTTGCGAGCAAGGACTGTCTTCTGAAGGCGAGAGCGAGGTACCCCCTCAGTAGGCTCTACGCGCATGTACGAGGAGATGTAATACTGCCATCTGTCGCGCAGTTCCATCTCATCCATGTAAAACGTCGTCTCATCACGTTGCAGCCATCGCGCTGTAGCTTCGCGCTTATGTGGAAACTATATGTAATGATTAGCAGCTGAGTAGACATAATTAGCAGAGAGAACAGTACTTACCCAGCAAATAACGAACATGTCGCCATCCTTAATACACTTCTCGGCGTACTTGCGAGCGCTAATCTCTGTTTGGTAACTGGTCACATCATTATGACGATTGTTTAGGAAGTGGTGAATGAGATCTGGCGTCTTCTCTTTTGAGTCGAGACTGGTGCACGTCAGGGAGAGACGACATAACGTCTTCAAGAGGTCTTGGATTGTATATAAAGTCCAGCCCTTCTTGAGATAATAATGACGTAGTACTTCTTGATATCGATTCTCATCAATCTCTCCGGTGATATAATCTTCAATAAGTTCGACCGTCTTTGGCCAGAACGAGGCAGGTTCATTCTCATCGAAGTAGTTAAGCTCATTGACGGCAATACCAAGATCCTTAGCAGGCTTCTTGCTCTTCGATCGGGCAATTTCTTGCAAGACGCTCTCCTTGCTCTCCTTAACGTCCTTAAGACGCTTGTATAGCGTCTGGAACACGGTGAAGAATACATAAATAGTCTGGTTGCAAAAGAAGTTGTACCACGGACGAGGGAAGAGTCCATCGGCTCTCAACTCGCCGTCAGTATCTAGGAGCGGATTATCACCCTTTACAACCGTCGCTCGAGGTACTGTAGGTAGCCACCGCTCGTTGGATTGTTCAGTAGGGAGGGAATCCTCTGGGGCGTCCGCCATCTCTTCTTCGTTCGCAGACCCAGCGTCCGGGGTTGTCTCTTTGCTACCAGATGCAGCACTATCCTCCTTTTGGGTCCTAGTCTTGGCACCGTTACGGCCAGGATCTAAAACGCCGCGGAGCAAGTCGGATCTCTTGCCATTGCGTCGGGCACGACCGTTAGTTAGCTCTGCAGGAAGCTGTTCCTCGGTATCTTCTTCGCCAGACTCGCGATCAATATCATGGAGCCGATCCTGCACTTTTTCTTCTGACAATTCGAAGAAACGTGGGATAAACCACTCAAAGAATTCAACGATCCGCTCCTTTTCAGAGGTACTATGGTGGCCATTATTCGTACCGTAGAGAACCATGAATCGGAGTAGGTCTAAGATGACCTCCTGGTCACCCAGCTCATATGCGAACTGATGTCGTGGTATTTTATTCTTCGAGCTGCGCAAGCGTCGTTGTTCTTCGTGTTTTGTCTTAATGACATCCACTAGATGTTTGGCAGAGAGAGTCCGCTTGTCAGTCTGTTTAACTTGGATACCCATGTGGTCAAGACTTTTGAGGTGCATGATCTCCGTCTGCGCCTGCCATACTTTTTCCCACTCTCTCTGCGTGAATCGCCACTCCTCGTCCTTTTGCTTAAGCCGCGCAAGGACGACGGGAACAACAGCGAAGGGATCCGTAAACATGTCGCTAACAACATCAAGACCCTTCTCATTACCGTAGATCTTCTTCAGGACACGCTTGAAGATTGAGGTGCTGGAGCCTCCGAGTCCTGCCGGCATCTGGAACGTTTCTCGTTCCTGAGGAGTCAAGTTCAGCATCTGCTGAGCAATAGGTTCGAGTAACTGTATGCACTTGACATTGGCCTCGATATTGAAATCATAATCGTGTCGCTCTTCCTCGATGCGATGAAGGCCCTCTTCGAAGGCGTTCTTTCGATGAGCAACAAAGCCCGAATCTTCCGAGGCCCAGGTAGGGTGGGATGCCCACTCGTCGTTGAGGACAGCGTTGCACATCTCGTCCCGGCCGCCACACGGCTTGAGTTTTTCCTACAGCGGTACTGTTAGCGGATGGTGTTACCTTTAGAGACATGAACATGACTTACCCTGCGAGGTAGCAACCTGTAGCTCGGTCCAATAGCCCGGCAGTTGCTCAGTGAAACCTTCTCCGTAGGCGGCCTAGGCCTATTCTCGATGATCTCGTCAAGACCCTCATATCCCACAAAATTCTTGAACCAACCCATCAGTTCAGCACTGCCTCCGATGAACTGACTGGATTTATGAACGAGATCATTGGTGTCAATCAAACTCTGAGAGTACATGTTGCAGAGCTTCAAGAACTCATTCATTGTAGACCTATTTCCGATAAACTTCTTAACTTTCTCGAAGAATCCCAGTTCATCTGCAGTCGCGTTTGCCGACGAGGTGGGAGGGAGAGGTTCAGGAAGGACCGGAGTGAGTGTGGGCTCGATCGATTGCACGTCCGCTGTAAGAGGTTTGTGATTAAGTTTCGGTCGCTTGTTAGCAGGACCTACTCCAGGAATTGAGCGTGATCCAGGAGCAGGACTATCAGCAACAGCAGGTGCAGGAGGCGCGGTCTGCTTCTCATTACGAGGCCGTTTTTTATTATCTTTGCTTGCGCTGGCAGGAGGCGCAAAGTTCCCGACGGGAGGCATCTTCTGGCCGTCCCTCATGTTATGTCCAGGCTGCGGCGTGGTCTGAGTGAGGCCGGTCATGGCGAACATGTCTTCGGGTTTCGCACCGTTACCCTTATTCGAAGCCGCAGACTCCGGTAGGAATTGCTTAAAATCTTCTAAAAGGTCTGGTGCAGTATTGAAGAGGGTAGTGACTTGGGCATAGACGTCTTGTATTGGTTTCTGCTCTCGTTGGTAGGTCTGTAAAATCTCGAGAAACTGCTTGTAGATTTCGGGTTTATCTTGGAAGCGGTTCTGCGTGCACAAGTTAACAAGTTAGCAAGTTTTGTTCAAGTATTCCACCGTGCAAATTTTTGTGGGGTTAAAAGAACTGTTTGTTAATGTGCTTTTGTTCATGTGCTTTTGACTTTTGAATTATTAACTCACCTTGATTTTATTCACATAGCTAATAGCATGATTGAATTCAACTGGACCGCGCTTTTCGATATTCGCTTGCTGATTTCCACTACCAGGCACCCCTTGCGAACCACCTGGAGTTGGTGTGAGAGCGTTCCGAGTTGTTGGCGCGTTAGGCGTAGTAGAATTATTTTGTATCTGAGATGTACCACGATGCTGTTGATTTCCACCAGTTGCACCATCAAACTCTGTAGGCTGACCTGGAGCAGCTCTGAACAAGCTTTGACTATTTGGCGCGGGGGCGCTAAAAGAGGTTTCTGGGCTTTCGATGCTGTGCTGCGGTTGCGGTTGCGGTTGCGGTTGCGGCTGTGGATGTTGTTGTTGCTGTTGCTGTTGCTGCTGCTGCTGCCAGTTGCTCGTCCGGTGGTTGAAAAAAGGTCCGTTCGTTCCCGGTTGGCCATGCGCCCCGTCGCCTTGGTTTGCTCTGCCTGTAATCGATTGAACTGTCGTTCCCATTGGCGTAGTAACGCGAATTGTATTTGGATCGTTTCCTGCACCACATTCGATTCTATATCCGGGAGGGAGAAAAGTGTTAAATCCTTGAATGAGATTTGGATGGCCGGCAAAAAGTTCTGATACGCGGTTGATGACACCAGGTGTGTCAATTCTAGCCCTTGGGTCAGCTTATTCACATCATAATTATCTCGGTATGTCGACTAACGTTTGACTCTTAAAGTCTTTCATAATATCAAGGAATTTATTATATACGTCCGGTTGGTCGGCAAATTGCACCTTGACCTGGTCTAAGTAGCTGAGGGCGTCCTGAGAAGACTATACATTAGTGCATAAAGCAGACAAACAATCGGATCCAAATATGTGCAAGCAATTGAAGATTATCAAGATGAAAGGGTCATTTCCCATGAGGCTCAAAAGGGTTATTACCCATACGCTTTTCATAGACTTGAGAGGATGTTTGAGTAAGGGAGCAGGGAAGTAAAATGATAGGGTAAGTGTATATAGTGTAAAATAATATTCCTAGCGGCGGGAACAGCAAGTACCCGTCCCACATAAAGAGATGATGAACACGAAAACAGAAGCCTGGGTAGGTCTGCTGTCGAGAATCTTCATATGATGATAAATGATAATACGATAAATGTATTGGACTTACATTAAGTATAGGTTGCTGCCCCTGTGGCATACCACTAGCACTACCATTGGGTAATGGGTGACTTCCTGGTATCCCAGCGCCATTCCCACCGAACGGTATACCCTGTGAGGTTCGGTTGCCTTCTTGTTGCAACGGACCACCAAATAGATGTGCTGCAGGTCCCGAAGAGCCAGAAGGGCCGGAATTGTGACCACCTATAGCTCCAAACATCTGGCTCGATGCATTCTGGGCATTATGCGGGAGTGTACGGTTCGACTCAGCTTGCAATGGACCGCCAAACGTGTTTACAGGACCGGAGGGAACACCGAGAGGGATAGGAGGTCCCGAACCCCCATGAGTCGCTAGAAGACCTCCAGGACTATGGATGGCACCGGGGAGTCGCGAGGCGACGGGCTGATGGATTTGTAATGACGCGGTATTGCTCTGGCGGGGAGTCCCAACAGGGAACTGCTCTCTCTGGTGTCGCTCGGCCGACTCGCGGTCGCGATGCGACATTTCCTCAGAATGGGAATTCATTTCGCTTCAAAATCGCGGATCTGATAGTTTAAAAGGTCAGTTAAACTGATTTGTTACGTGCTGAAATGCGCGCGTTGTTGCGAGCGAAACCCAATGAAGCCACTCAGGAGATAGACAGACCGAGAGTCAACCCTGGAAGCCATCCATCCAAGAAAAAGGAGAAGGGATAAATCGCGCTCCTCAGTAACTAGAATGAACTTACTTTCTACATGGATACTATTCTATCGATGAGAACAAGGCGCGGTATAAGATGATATCTTTTAATTTATGGTGAGAAGGAAAAAAGCTGAATGAGATCAAGCCGCGACAGCTTGGAGACAAGGTTTCTGCCGTGCGATCAGCGGCGGCCGATAACAAGCAAAGTGGCTCTCTTTATTTTATTATGACAGTCACATGGAGATAAGAGAGCAAGCGGGCTTCTTATTGCACCAAATTAAGTTTAGCGTTTGATGGAGATTTAGGAGCTATGTAATACCTACTACGTATACCGACCTCGGTCATATGTAGAACCTTAGCTTAGGTACTTCTGTATAATTCACTTGGTCTAAGGGGAGCTTCAAAATCCTACTATATACCTTATTTTAGAGTATTTTATTATCACTACTATAAGAATATTAAGGGCTTATATACAGGAGACCAAACAATATTATAAATTTTCATTACCGAAGAGACTTCCTTACATAGGTGATAGATATCAAACATTTAACTGGCCCAAATCCGACCATATTTGCTTGTACATATGTAGCTAAGTCAAAAAGCCATAAGCCTAAGCAAATCCCCAATAGCTACCTATTATGTAAGTCCAGAAGTTATCTATACTAACTAGTTACTGGTAGATTGTATCCTCCTAAGCTCCATTCATAAACCAAACCAATAATTAGCAAAACCATCCCAACAAAATACATCATAGACCATAGCTATATAGTGGTCGCTCATCAACTCTAATAAAGGTAATCAAGTTACCAAAGTCATATCATACCACTCACTGAAACTTTAGCGCTTAAACGTAGTTACGTACTCCGTTTAGGATCCATAGCTCACCATTCCCAACTCGGCTCGCGATACTATCTACTTGGATCCCGTCAGGTTGGATCTAAAATCGTCAGCTGTATATTCACTATTACAACGCCAAAAAAGTGACTCACCACTCTAACACCATCTTTCATCTCCCACCATATTTCTCTATCCCCGTCAAGTAGCGTCTTGACCTTCTCCCCCTCCTGCCAAGGGCTGACAGAGACTACATGTGCCTCCACGAACCTCATCATATTCCTATGAGCCCTATCTTGTCCGTCCTCGCCCTCATATGCGTTAGCACCTAGCGCATCGTAGTCCTTGGGGTCTTCCCAGGGTTTGCGCGGTAGCTTCTCGACGGCCGAATTCCGCGGGGCAAGGACGGTGCTATTTTTCGAGGAGTCGTCAAGGCGGGAGGATATCGAGGCGATGTCGCGGGTGAATCCAGCAAATATATTGATGCTACGGTCTCGACCCATCACGTCAGATATAAGAACTCCTCCTTGGGGAGGTGGCTGCTCGGAACCTCCAGGTTGTTGTGATGGTGGCATGACGGGACCAATGTCCATGAGGGGCTTCTGGGCGTTAGATTTCATTTGTATACCGTAAGGCAGAGCGACGTGTTGGGCGGATACTGTCGCTGTTAGCAGTTGGAGGCAATATAACGCCAAAAGCTTCATATTTCTAGAAGCTAAATAGTAAAAGAAGGGTATTTGCGATCGTATGTAAGTTATAAGATGTATTAAATGGTGGAGGAAAATCAATCCAGTCGCTCGGGTTCTAGATAAGGTTCCACTAACTTTTAGGTACCCTTAGCGTACCCCGGCATGACATCACCCTTCGAGACAATGAAGCACCTGATCCCCGTCCAATACATCCCTTACGTACCTTTTCTAACACATTCATTCCACTATGTATACCTACCTAACACTCACACATGTGTATGATCAAGATCAAACCTACCGTAAGATTATCATGGTATATTCGTATAAACTTTAGGTAGCTAAGAGTCAGGGCTGGTATAATTACGTGACTTTATAGTACGATATAAATGAAGCAGATGGTAAATTGTTTGCAGCTCCCCCTTGCTTAAACTATCTTAAGGTAGCCTCAATCGACTTTAGCGAATAATACCTAGGTATTGTTAATTTAAAGAACATATAATAAGGATGCTATTGCTTAGTAAATATATACTTGCATTGCAGCACATGCAATAGGCTAAATATAGCATTATTTGATTAACTACTAATTAAGACTAAACATCTCTACACTCCAGAAAGTTATCCTAATGCTACCACCACTGCCACTACATCTAGGTAAATATCGAAAGCGTATAAAAAGAAAACGCGAAAGAGGGGTGGAATGAGGATTTGTGAGATGTCTTAAACTAATATTATCCGATAAACATTAATTCCAAGGTCAATGGACATAAAGACGGGATGTTCGAACCCCATCGCGTACATATGAAAAGCCACAGCATGCTACTATGCTGGCTACTGATGCTGTTATCTCTCAATAGATACAACGTTATACAGCACTAGCCATCCTCGACCACAAGCGAATTTCTATATATCGAGAGCTAATGCCATATTTTAAGAAACTCATTCTATTGTTCAGCCAAGTAGAGCAGCAGATATAGAAGAAAAAATGTGGTTGATCAACACCAAAACTCTAGAGCTCGAATTTGTTGCGAGCCTTAAGGAGCGCTCTTACGCCGTATTATCACATACGTGGGAGGATGAAGAAGTGACCTTCCAACAGTTTTCAGATAGCACAAAACGCGCGTCGACTATACAACTGCGCGGATTTGCCAAGATTGCGAAGACATGTCAATTGGCCAGAGACAAACACATGCTGGACTATGCCTGGGTAGACACCTGCTGTATTGATAAGACAAGCAGCACCGAACTATCCGAGGCCATTAACTGTATGTTCAAATGGTATCAAGAGGCAGCTGTATGTTTCGTATGGCTTTCTGATATGGTCCTCGAACCGGCTGATTTATGGGATACTCCACTTGGACCATATAAGAGAATCACTTCGAATGTGTTAAGAAAGTGTAAGTGGACTACAAGAGGCTGGACGCTTCAAGAGCTATTAGCGCCAAGCGTCGTCGAATTCTACGACAGGAATTGGGATTTTGTCGGCACCAAGGACTCGTGGCTGTTAGACCCCATATCAGAAGTTACCGGAATCGAGCCTGAATTCTTGACCCGTAACTACTTAATCTGGTCTGCCCCGGTTGGTATTCGGATGCAATGGGCCGCCAAGAGAAAGACAACACGACCAGAGGATATAGCGTACTGTCTTCTGGGTATTTTCGAAATCAATATGCCCCTATTATACGGCGAGGGGGATAAGGCATTTCTTCGACTTCAAGAAGAGATCTGCAAGCAGACTCACGACTTATCTCTATTTGCATGGACAGCACGATCAGGCTATGTTTCTTCTTCCTTATTTGACTGTTATCGCGGCATCTTCGCCATTCACCCATGTGAATTCACAGGACTGCAGGGGCTAAAACGCGAGAGCGTTAGTAGAATCTTTCGCGGCGAGGTCACCATCACCAACAAAGGTCTCCGTCTCGATGACGTCCAGTTATATAGGGCGCCTAATGATACATTGATATTACCACTCGGTTATACTGGCCCGCACCCTAATGATAAAGGCGAAAAATCATCTTACGGCATATATATCAGATTAACTCTTGATGGATACATCCGCAAACACCCAGGCGTCCTCGCCATACTATCGGGCGACCGTACCACTGATATACCAGCACACCGCATATATATTAGGAAACAGTCAATCACACCATGGACATGCCACGAACTAATACAAGATAAATATATCGGCGTGCTACTTTTCCGATTCGAGGGGCAGCTAGCTTCTAAAATCGTTAAAGTAATACCGCAAGAATCATTTGACTACAGTCTGAACGCATTTATAACTGGGGGTAAAAATTTCTTCGGCTACCTACGGCTGACTGTAGGCGGTGTTGACGTCGTGGTCGTATGTTGGCTAAGAATGTATCTTTCAAAGTACTCTACCACTATGACACCCGATGTCAAGTATGGCTTTGCTATCGAGGGCAAAGATGGCTGGGACAGGTTAAAGACAATGCGCCTCGAGACCGAAATAACCAATCACGCAGGCCAGGATGGGACCATCTTATCTCTTTTACCAAACGACAAATTAAGCTACTCCGATGGTAGTATTATCACTTCACTCGGTTCATCAAACATAAGTATGGCCATGCATACTTTTACAAAAGGCCAAAATAGCCATTTAATGGTCGCGTTTTCAAAGAAAAAGAAGAGGAGTCTTTTCCGTTAACCTTAGGTACCTATATATCACCTCATCTCTACCCTACGTTTCCACCGTAAGAACTTTAGCAGATACACAGATACATAGGCGTAGCGGATCTTCCAGCTAAGGTGATGACAAATACCGCCTTTTGCTTTTATTCAGCGAACAAAGATGACGCCGGAAGTAGATTATGGGTGACTGGGTCTGACTAGGGGTTACGCAAGTCATAAATCATAGTCCTCGCGTTGGATAAGCTGAGTTATTATCGTTCCGCACACTTACGCGCGTTAAAGATATGGCGTATCTACATTTCTTTGATCATGCCCGACGATTATGTGGCGGTCAGCCATTCGTCACTTCTCAACCTAGTCGCCGATGATGGGGATCTTTATTAGGCTTTCCCGCTCAACCAAGTCTACGAGAAAAGTACCTCAAAACTAAACTTTCCTAAACAACCTCATAATAATGAAAATCATCCATATTCAACCTACGAACATATCGCCATGCCTGCCTCCGCTTCGGAATTAGTTGCTACCATCAGGGGTTGGACCCAGTGCGTCAACGAGAAGAGATGGAACGATCTGCCTAAATACGTGCATTCGACATACAACCAGAATGACATAGAATATACGCCTGAATCGTGGGCTATACACCTTAGGGAGCACGTAGCTCCTCAGCTTGGAGGAGATATCATCATTAACGAAGACAGTATTATTGTAGACGAGAATACTCAATGTGCCTCGTTCTCGATATGGGTCAAATTCAAACCGGAAGTACCTCTCCTAGGCTACCTACCAAAGGGCCGCGATATCTTACTAGTGGAACGAGGCTTTGTTTGGTTTACGGATGGCAAGCTGTCGAAAGCTTTACTCGCGGTGAATAGCGACGACATACGCAAGCAACTAGCTGATCCTGACGCCAACTTTATGCCTAATCTTATCAATGAGGATCCCGTTCCTAAGATAGAAGCGCCACTGCCCCGCAAGAAGCTCGAGGAAATTTATAGAGCCTACGTCGACAGCTTTAACGCCCGCCGAACCCAGTCGGAGTATGCCAAGTATGTCCACCGGCCAGAAGCGGCACTCAATAACAAGACCTTGGCTCGTCGCATTATGGACGACACGGTGACGGCCATCCCGGACCTTCAAGTGCAGATTCACACCCTGATAGCTGATGAAGAATCACAACGCGTAGCAGTGTGGCTGAAGTTTACTGGAACACCGGTTAAGGAATATGCCGGATTAGTAGTCGATGGTAATGCAGTTCAATTCACCGAGCATGCGACTTATCAGTTTGTGGACGGCAAAATCCAACGAATCTGGGGATTCATGGACTGGGACGAGGCGAGACAACAGCAAAGACCCGCGGGGCCAAAACCTATACCGGTACTTTAGGAGTTGACGTCAAGGCTTGACATGATATGTGTGTTTATGTTGATATTTCGGGTTTCTATTTCGAACAAAAATCTCTCTAGGTTCTAGGATATCAAACAGTACTAGACTAGAAGACGCCTTATATTTAGATATTCTTTTTCGAGGACAGCAATAATATTATTTATTCTTTACGAACTTATAAATCTCACAAGCCAAAATCGTTTTTTACCATGTTAGGAGGTAGTCTTCATGAGAACTAGGTCTCTAAGCTAACGATGCGGCTACCCGTGGAATGCAGATGGACATCCCGCATTTTTCACATGCTAAAATGCTACACCTTAGTCAATCCTAGTTTGGTTATGGTTATTATCATAGTTCTGCAGTGAAGGACTAGCCGTCAGCAACTCCAGATTTAGATCAGCTGCCATGCGACCAGTCTTGTTATTGCGTATTAAAGAGAATCATCTGACACGCGAGACTCTTTTGTGGGGGAGACGCCGCTTTCGTCTTGCCGGTCCGGGGCGCAGCCTTTTTTTTTTTTTTTTTGGGAGGAAGAATCACATGTGTTCATGTCTGTCAGACTTTATGTTGCATGTATCCAATTGTATTCGTGCTAAATCATCCGATTATATACTTGACACATATTCTGTCACTCCAACAAAAGGGGGTTCCTGATAATCCCATCTCATCCCCATGGGTTCCCGCCGTACAAGGTTTAATCGTCTAGCTCGTGACTGTGGGGAAGAAGCTTTAGAACCGTCGACTTTGCCCCCATAAACATTTTTGAATGTGGAGGGATGCGGACAGTGGACACGACATATGTAACAAACCTCGGCATTCTGGTCAAAATGTACCGGATAATTCGGTGTACATAAGTACGCGCGACTGGGGCCGCTAGTGACATCACCTCCTCGGCCGAATATTGTGCGAAGGTCATGTACCTTTATTTCTATTCAACCACCTGGATGTGAGTAGCCACAGTAATAAAAACTGGAAAAATACTTGTATATCTTATATTAGATGAATCAAGTTGCGAGAATAGCAAATTGTACGCATTTCGCTGCAGAAACGGACTATGAGTAAGAAGTACCAATTACGACCAAGTACATACACGCGAGTACCGGGATAGGTACCTGTCTGATCCCTGATGCACTAAGAGTTGACCTCGGCACGCCCGCGCACGAATCAGAGTGTCAGCAATTCAAAGTAGGGCAGCTTCGACTCGGCCTAGAAGGTCAGCTAGTAAAACAGTTACAACGAAATATCAAGCCCCGACATCCCTTTCGCATTTCTTCTTTTTCATCTTAACATTTTCAAGCTATTTCTCATACTCTCCTCTCATTTCTTCTGCCACCTTTACATCATTCCCATCAGTAGCCAGGCAGTCCCATATAATATATCACATCAATCAAAATGGCACCTCGAGTAATTGTCGTTGGTGGTGGCTGTAAGTTTCAATTCCCTCCCCGCTCCTCGTGAGCGTCACCATTCTGGCGATAATGAGTTAACAATTACATAGTGGCCGGTCTGAGTGCTGCACACACAATTTACTTGGCCGGCGGTAATGTTACGGTCCTTGATAAGCAAGGTGAGAATTGAGCTTACTTAGTGTACGATTCAATGAGCTTGGAAACTAATTTGTTTATTTTAGGTTTCTTCGGAGGAAACTCAACTAAGGCCACATCGGGAATCAACGGTGCTTTAACGCGGACACAGGTTGATAATAACATCAAGGACAGCGTAAAGCAGTTCTACGATGATACCCTTAAATCCGCACGAGACCAGGCTAGGCCCGATCTCATCAAGGTCCTCACCTACAAATCCGCAGCCGCAGTTGAGTGGTTACAAGATGTCTTCAACCTAGACCTAACTTTGGTTTCGCGACTTGGGTGAGTCGAGAAAATATGCCATTGATCTCTCCTATTTATGCTAATTACTTCGATAGTGGTCACTCTCAACCCAGGACACACCGAGGGCACGATGCCAAGTTCCCTGGTATGGCTATCACATACGCCTTGATGCAGAGGTTAGAAGAGCTCGCCGAGACCGAACCCGAGCGCGTCCAGATTATCAAGAAGGCTCGCGTCACAGGTTTAAATAAGGATGGTAACAAGGTCACCGGTGTCACATACGAATCCAGCGGCGAGAGCGCTACTCTTGAGGGCCCTGTCGTTCTAGCTACTGGTGGTTACGCCGCAGACTTTGGCGAGAACTCGTTGTTGCAAAAGCACAGGCCCGATACCATCGGCCTCGCCACTACCAACGGCTCACACGCCACCGGTGACGGTCAGAAGATGGTTATGGCTATCGGTGGAAACGGAATTGACATGGACAAGGTTCAGGTTCACCCTACGGGTCTCGTCGACCCCAAGGACCCTGGCTCGAAGTGGAAGTTCTTGGCTGCCGAGGCCCTGCGTGGTGAGGGTGGTCTCTTGCTCAATGCTGACGGTGACCGATTCTGCGATGAGCTCGGTCACCGAGATTACGTCTCGGGCATGATGTGGAAGGAGAAGGACAAGGGCAAGTTCCCCATCCGACTAGTGCTCAACTCCAAGGCTTCCAATGTTTTGGACTTCCACACCCGCCACTACTCTGGTCGTGGCCTGATGAAGAAGATAACCGGTAAGCAACTTGCTAAGGAGATCGGTTGCTCTCCCGAGCATCTCCAGAAGACATTCACCACCTATAATGCTATCGCCGATGGTAAGCAGAAGGACCCTTGGGGTAAGAAGTTCTTCCACAACTTGCCTCTGGATATCAATGACGACTTCCACGTCTCATTGATGGAGCCAGTCCTTCACTTCACCATGGGTGGTATCGAGATCAACGACAAGGCCCAGGTCCTAAACAAGGATCAGAAGCCTTTCGATGGCCTATACGCCTGTGGTGAGTTGGCTGGTGGTGTCCACGGTGCGAACCGACTTGGTGGTTCCTCACTTCTAGGCTGTGTCGTCTACGGCCGCGTTGCTGGAGACTCGGCCAGCAACTACTTATTCCAGCAGGCTCTCACAGGTTCTGCTGGAGCTGCTCAGCGTCTTGGACAAATCTCCTTACACATCGACCCGTCTCAACCGGGTAAGGTATCCGTCGAGTGGGGAAGTGGTGCTTCCAGCTCCTCGTCATCCGGAGGTCCTGGTCAAAAGACTAGTGCTACCGGCCCTACTCCGACTGCGGAGGGTGGCAAGTCATCCCAGCCTGCAGCAAAGGCCCAGAGCGCAAAAGCATTTGCGGTGCCGGAGAAGGAGTTCACATTAGAAGAGGTAGCCAAGCACAACAAAAAGGAGGACCTCTGGGTTGTCGTCAAGGGTGTCGTCATGGATCTGACGAACTGGCTCGAAGAGCACCCCGGCGGTCCTCAGGCTATCATGAACTTCATGGGTCGGGATGCGACAGAAGAATTTGAGATGCTACACGACGATGAAGTCATCCCCAAGTACGCACCTCAACAAGTAATAGGGCGCGTTAAGGGACAGAAGATCACTCTCGAATTCTAAGCAAACGATCAGTCGGGCGGCGCTTTGGGAATTGCTTTATATTTGCAAATAGCATTTCGATTTTTAATCATTACTCCCCCGCGTAATGAGATACGCGAGAGGCACCCAGACTCATTCGGGTGAATAGTAAAATTAGCTAGGCGAGGCGCTTCTTGTTGCATTAGGCCGATGGCCTGGCTGTATTGATAGTATAGGACTACGTCAGATGTATTAGCATTTAGGAATATATCACTTGGGTTATGTTGTTTTAAGCTTTAGCTTTGTCTTTATTAATTTGACTCTTTGACTCTGTGTATTGATATGACATGCCTTATATGCTGTATTGTAAGGTGATCAAATCTTGATATGTAGGAACTCGTCGGATAGGTTTACGGTAGTAATGTTTACAAGAGCATCATCCTAGGGCATGGTATATAACCTTATAACCTTCCCCATCGTGATCACTATCTACGTCGACTGCTTTCAATACACGACCTTCAGACTTCAACCTAACAATCCGTCAAGTATTCTCTAAAAAGATATTTTCTGTCCCCTGTAGAAGGTTGAGGTTCGATTTCGAACAAAACCGAACACAGCAATACTCAATATCGCTTAAATCGATTGCACCCGTGAGAATGAGTCGTGGAATGCCTCCTGATAAAACCCTATACTTATTGCGATATACTGGACTGATTTGTACGTACAGCCACCTAAGCATTCTCATGTAGCTAATAGCCAATGATTACGACGCTTCTAGATAGCCTCCTAGGAAGATTTATGGGAGTAGTAAGTTTAACATGGTTAGATCCTATGGTGTTATGAGCAATCGTGGGAATGGGATGAAGTGCAATAGAGAAGATTCTAAGGTATTTGGGGTGTATTAGGGGCTATCCGAGTTTCTTAGGACATATACACGGTGACGTGTGGTGCTGATGCATATTCTTTTTAGCTATAATCTGATTCCTAGCTTCTCAAAACATCCTCATTCTGTCCCTCAGTTTACTAGGCTGCTGTTACAGACTAACCTATGAGAAAGGAGTAGGCCAGAGGCTCTTGTGGATGGTGTGACGGGCTGCTGCTGAGACCGTTCACGATATTTGTTACTTGTCTCACAATATGCATCCTAGCTATAGGCATCGACGTCTAATACTCTGATTTACTAGAGCTAAGTTCATATTATTGACAATAATGTTTATATACATGGATACCGGATATGAATCATATCTATGCGTATAGGAGCTAGGCGAATAGATGACACATTATACACATACTGTTAGATTTCCATTACTACATGCGAGTCGAACTTAACAGCTCTAGCTAACACACCCAGCTGATAACAGTCTCGGGGTCTATGCCAGGAAGAATCGTAGTCATGCGGGTTGATTCGTTGGCTATGTCTTATGTGACTCGATTACAGGTGTCTAAAGTGTTTGCCTTGAGAAGTTCAAAGTATTTCTGACTGCATTTGACACATGAGATCCCTTTAGATAATTTAGGTACTCGAGCATATTCGAATAGCAACGACCTTCCCCGTCTTGAACATGGGTA